CTGAAAAATTAAAATTTCGTGAAACCCAACTCAACGCATTACTCAACTGAAGTTGTTTAATGAGAACGTAATTTAGTTTAAGTCAAAACAACTTGTGAAACCGGGGGCCTCAGATATGATTAAATGTGTTGACCATCTTTTATGTGAAGAAGCTTAGTCTATCCAGGTATACCTTCAGTATAGACAGATACTTCCATGTGTGGACACTTTCCACTCATTCTTTTATAAAATATAAATGCATGTGAAAATAGACAACAAAAATTTATGTGAGGAAGCTATCGGTGTACAGACATCATGCCCTTCGCATATCCGGACAAAATCCCCTCCATGAGTGGACATTAATCCCCTACTCGGACAAATTCCCCTTGTTTCATAGGTTTCTAATGAATTATTATGCTCCATAAGAATTGATGAATAATGTATTTATTATGCTCCATAAAAATTGATGAATAATGAACTTTTGTTTTTTTATTTATAATTATATGTATGAAGTTAACCTTTATAATTAGGACTTATAATGTTCTTGTACCTGAAAATAGACAAAGTCTTTCATTTGACAGCAGCTGCTATCCATTTGTTTTAGCATGAATGGGCTTGATAAAACCCGGGTGCCCATTCATGCCAGAAAAAATAATAGAAGACCACCTGATGTTTTAATTCTAACAGGAAGGTCTGTGACTCTATTTCTATCACCTTAATATACTGTATGGTATGACAATTTAATTCATAATTATTATTGTTATTATTAAGTTAAAGGGATCCACTGAAGTTTTTTTCTGACATGACATGACTCAAAGTTTTTGCTGCCATTTGTGTACCATTTGTGTAGGTCTGTTACTAAAAATTTGTGCAAAATTTGTGATCTTTCACCTGGAACATTTTCCAAGAATAGACATTTTACTTGTGAAAAATGACCCAGAAATGAACAGTGTTTAAACACTTCTGAAATCGTGCTACGAGTTGAATAAAAAATTGATATGAAAAATATGAAAGATTTTCAAATTTGATGTTTTTAAGTCTTTGGAATTGCAATAATTTTTGATTTGCTAATTATAATTTCAAAATTGAGAAGATCATACATGTACTACATCATTGCGCACCTGCAAAATGCTCCCAATTTTTTTAAAATAAGTTTTTATTCTAAGAAATTTTAAGAATGTAAAAAAAATAATGTAGCACACCAAAGATTGGCTTTAGTACTTGATATAATTTTAAAAAATTTTACTGCCTGAGTTTACCCCTGAAAACGTGTTAAGTTTTTTTTTCTAAATGCCCCCACATGGACTCACAAACAAAATGTATCCCGTTTTCAGGTTTAAACCAGACAGTAAAACTTTAAAAAAATTTAAAAATTATATCAAATACTAAAGCCAATCTTTGGTGCACAGTGTATATTATATTTTGATATTCTTACGATTTATTTGAAAAAAATTATTTTTTTATCTATGAGCTGACAAAACACAGTTCGATTGGGAGCATTTTGCAGGTGCGCCACCGCAATAACGTAGTATCCTACCATTGAATTTATACACAGTGAGTGTATTTCGGAGTATTGAAATTTTCTGTTTTATTTTAGATATTTAGCCAACAGTTTAAAAGTTTCTTGTCAGACTGTGGCATTTTCTTGTTTGTTACAAGGTAGAGTCTGCAGCAATCTGAAATTGAAATCAGTCAAACAACCATAATTAATTATGTTGCATCAAAGATATATACATTACACAAATAATGAAACTCTTAGAAGTTTTAGCTGTTATCAAAATAGGCTTCTGAACTGAAATGTAGTTCATTCAACCTTACAAGCCTAATACAGCTAAGTGAAGTAAAGCAATCTATTATATGGGTACAAATTTATAACATGAGGGGTCGTATGGCCTGTAAACTTGATCGTCTTATTTGATTTTTCTCGTTGATTCAATTTCCATGATTGATCTATTTATATATCGGTACTTTACTGATTGGATTGAATCAGATTAGTCTCCTTCGGGAAACGAGGCAAATCAAATTTTTTCCATTTCTTAGAAAGATTGGGGGAAACGGACCAACCGTAATCATTAACCTTTGAATCGGTTTTATGAACTGTGTAATAAATTGTTGCATTGTTAGATACTTACAAGTTTTTAGGCAATACTGTTACATTGAGAAAAGGAAAGTTTTATGGGGACAATATTTTTTTCTGCTGTAAATGTTTCCCGGAAAACAATTGCAGCTGGCGTGTGGAGACTCATAACTTAAGAATTTACAAGCAAAAACAGTGGAGAAATATTTTTCTTAGAAAAGGTTAAACAGTATATCATTGTATAAAAAGAAAGAACATTGTTTTTTTTAACCAGGTTTTCAATTTTGAAAATCCTGGTTATTAGATTGGGGTATGGCGGGCGGATGGGCGGATGGGCGGATGGGCGGCTGGGCGGATGGGCGGATGGGCGGGCGGGCGTCAAACGAAATTGTGTCCGCTCTGTAACTCTTCAACCCTTTGAAGAATTTTGATGAAACTTCAGACAAATGTTTACCACATCAAGATGACGTGCAGAACGCATGTTCCGCATGGCTGGCTCCAAGGTCAAGGTCACAGTGACATTAACATTGAAAATCCTGTCCGCTCTGTAACTCTTCAACCCTTTGAAGAATTTTGATGAAACTTCAGACAAATGTTTACCACATCAAGATGACGTGCAGAACGCATGTTCCGCATGGCTGGCTCCAAGGTCAAGGTCACAGTGACATTAACATTGAAAATCCTGTTTACATGATTTTAACTTGATTTGGCAGTCAATTGTGTCCGCTCTGTAACTCTTCAACCCTTTGAAGAATTTTGATGAAACTTCAGACAAATGTTTACCACATCAAGATGACGTGCAGAACGCATGTTCCGCATGGCTGGCTCCAAGGTCAAGGTCACAGTGACATTAACATTGAAAATCCTGTCCGCTCTGTAACTCTTCAACCCTTTGAAGAATTTTGATGAAACTTCAGACAAATGTTTACCACATCAAGATGACGTGCAGAACGCATGTTCCGCATGGCTGGCTCCAAGGTCAAGGTCACAGTGACATTAACATTGAAAATCCTGTTTACATGATTTTAACTTGATTTGGCAGTCAAAGGTCATATCATCTTTGGAGGTAATTTAAAAAAGATATGATATATTATTTCATGTCTACTTTGTAACTTGTTTTTTCATTATACAGAATTATCAATATAATTATAGTGAACAAATTCTTCTGTGCTGAACTCGTCCTACATTTCTCAACGGATTTTGTTCAAACTTTCACAGAAGCTTTGTCATCAAGCACCCTGGCACATATTGTCGGGGTTTTGTGATTGGATAGTTTTTGACCTAATTATGGCCCTTTGTTTTTTTCCTTATACATAATATTATAGTGAACACTTCTTCAGTGGCAATTCCTCCTACATTATTCATGTTTTACATTGCACATAGTTACATTGTTTGTTGCTTGTATTTGTATTTCAAATACAACATATTTATCTACAATGGTGATAATTGAAAACCTGGTTTCATGGCATTGCCATGTTTCTTGTTTGTTTTTTTAGTTAACAAATTTTTAAACCTGTTACTTGCTGAATTTTAAAATGGACATGTCCAGCTTTCATTTTTGGAAGTGTCCATTAATAATTTGGGGAAATCAAGATGTGATTAAAGTTGGTCAGGTAACAATATCGAACCCAATCAGACTAGCCTGGCTCTATACCTACATGTATGGTAAAAGGAAATGAGTGGCTGCCTGGTTGAGTGATGAATGCGACACTGACTTGTGATTTAAGGATTGCTGGCTGCATGGGTTCAAATCTAGTCAGGGGCAAGCCGTTGTTTCCTTGAGCAAGAAACTTTACACTCATTGCTTAGTATTGGTTAGTTACAGGAACGGATTCAAGAGTTTTTCCATAAGCTTAATATTAACAGCTTCAAATGCAATCAAACTAAAATAAAGTTGTTAAACAATAAACTTGTGATATAATGATGCGCATCCGAATGACAAACAGAGATTTTATCAAGCGATCAAATCACCGATTTGGATATATTATTTCGATTCTAACACAACATAAACAAATAAATGCTGCCATACCTGATATTAAGCTAAATTACCCTTGATTTGTTTCCGTACTTATTTCAGCGCGTAGCATTTTTAGTGGTTACGTCACATATATATAATGATTGCATCACACACATTGTCTAAATATAGACTGTCAACAGTGATTTTATTGCATAATAACACACACTTTCTGTTCTTCTATGTTCAATAAGGATAAATGCGGGTTGTGTTAGAATAAACAATAAACTATTAATTATGATGTATATACATGTATATTTAAGGTCATAATCGTTGAGACAAGCATCAGGCAGTTTTGTCCGGTTGAAAGGACGTGCAAATACACTGCAGCGACTGCTCTATTATACTGAATGCTGGGAAACTTATTGTTGCAGGGCATTTCAAATTAAAGTTCACTTGTACTTACTGAGCTGAGTGTTACACTAGTACTCTATTTTCATTGATCATAGGGTTCCAGTGCCAATAACCTCTGGGGCCATTAAGCCATGTTACCTTTTGAGACATTGGTTTTTAAGGGAGCAGATTTGGATAAATTAGATTTGAATATGCTTTTGTCTGATTCATTACACCGCCCAGTTGAAATAGGGAGTCTCAGCATCAGATTTGTTAACAAGGAACTTTTAGTTTGATCCTTGGGTAATTCAAAATTTCTCTGTGACTAACAGTTGATCTCTAACATTGAGTTTAATGGTCATTTGTCTCACTTTGCTGATTAAAAAATCATGTTGGTTTAGTGGTCGGTAGCATGCAGAGTAATATGTAACTGATTTAGTTATCCAGAAAAGCTAGTGAGGTAGACCAACCATAATGAAATAATTGTGTCGGCATATATAAGCATAAAAACTAAATAAACAATCAAACTTACTGTTTCTTAGTTACAGAAAATGATAGACTAATCTAAAAGATGACATTTTATTTTATATATTTCAGGTTGAAATGAAGCTGGGACGCAACATGCGGGCAGCACCCAAGGGCAGTTTAGCCTCCATGTCTGCTTCAGACGCTAACACCCAGGTAGCTAACTCTTAGGCTTGGGGTGTTTGTTTTTAATCTTTCCTAAAATAATTTCTAACAGTTTCTTTGACATAAGGTACCTGGAAACAAAATGATGAAAAAATAAATATATTTTGTCTTACTTGTTATCTTGAACTTTTGAATTACTAAATAGATTTAATGACTAATATCAGGATACTCAGATGTTTCTTAATGACTGTTTTTTTGTAGAAATTTTTTAATCAGATAATGTATGAAAATTGAAATGTTTGGTAATTTTGTATTCTGGTACCTTAAATATGTTGCCTTTTCTAACTTGTTGCTTTTTAATTGATTAATCTTAATTATCTATTTAATTCAAATCTTGCAATATGTGATATATAATACTTCATGAAGATTAATTTAAACATTAAGCCTTGTAGTGTATGAAATATGTATTCTGACTCTATAAGTAATTATTTGTTATGTGTTCTTATTGGTCCAGCTGTATTCTGATTGGTCAAACTTGTAGAATATGAAATAATTCTGCATTCTTATTGGTTCAGCTTGTAATACATGAAATATGTATTTTGATTGGTCAAACTTGTGGAATAAATTATGAAATATATTTATGTATTCTAATTGGTAAAGAGTACAAAAATTCATCATCTTAGTGCAGTAACAGGTTAACTCCTTGTATGATTTAATAAGAGTTAACCTGTTACTGCACTAAGGTGACAAATTGTAGATTTGATTATACTACATGTATTTTATATGTTTAACTTTGGCTAGAATAAAGAAAGAGAGAAACTGAAATGCACCCAAATTAATTGAAAAGAATCACATATCTTGGGTTGGTTTACATATGTATTTATCCGCTCTTTTTATATAATTTAGCTCTATGACATCATGTTACTTGATTTAACCAAAGTAGATGTCAATAAAGAATGGTTATATATTTATTTATTTATATATAATATATTTCTCTATTCTGACAATGGGTATAGGTTATTCTGTCTCAAAATCTGTGTGTAATATTGTATGTTGAACAATACAGATATGTTGAACTAAAATATGGAATGATCCAGATATGTTGAACTAAAATATGGAATAATACAGATAATTATGTTGAACTAAAATATGGAATAATACAGATATGTTGAACAAAAATATTGAATAATACAGAATATACTGAACTTTAATATGGAATAATACAGATATGTTGAACTTTAAAATATGGAATTATACAGATATTTTGAACTGAAATATGGAATTATACAGATATGTTGAACTGAAATATGGAATTATACAGATATGTTGAACTAAAATATGGAATAATACAGATTTCTCTATTTAAAAATTCACGCTTTTTCTCTCACAGCTAGTGTCTCTATTGCTATAAATTATAGAATAGCCAAACATATCACATATTGCATTCTATGTATTTCTATATGTCACGTAGTTTAATATTTACCCTGTGTATTTTTACCAGCTAGATGCCTCTGTACCCTTGCTACATAACCATACGCTACATTCTAACCATATAGCCGATTACTTTGCTAACACCCATTCTGCCCTGCGCCCGCAGACTCAGGGGTCAGGTATTGCATCGAGACAGTACCCGTCTCGCTCCATAACAAGCCCACAGCATCCCTCACAGGTAATGTATTTTTAAGATTTAGAAAAAAATCATCGTGGCATATGAATTATACAGTTATCTATGAATAAAGAAACTGTTCTAAATAATTTTAAAATTTAATATTTGACGAGAATAAATTTTGAATGAATTTCTAGAAAATAGTGAATTAATTTCATGGGTGAGTTCTTGAATGAAAGAATTATAATTCTATAGAACTAGTCTTATTCTGAAAAGAAGCCTCTATGGCTGAATGGTTAAGTGGCTGACTTCAAGTCAGTCTTGCCCCTCATTTCTTGGGTTTGTCAGAGACTTTGGATTCTTTCATGTCAGGAAGCTATCAAGTCAGTTTATGAAAGTTCAGTGGTTCTACTCAATTAATTAGCTTTAGAAAAAGGTGCCATTAATTTTGGCTTAAAAGTTTTCAAAATTTTCCTTTGCAGTCTTTGAATTTGAAATTTGATTGCAGTATATTATCTGCTTTTTCCGTCTCACTCTTCTTATTTCTTTTAAATCTTAAAGCTGAATGCCTCCAGATGAGCAAAAAAACAAAAAATGTAAAATGCTTTTTTGTAGATGTTAAGTGCCAAATGTGTAAATAAGTTTCTTTGTTCAATTGACAATATTTTACTTTTTAATAAATTTTAAGAAAATTTTCATAAGAAATTGCATGAATCTAGAGGCATGCTGCTTTAACTAGCATTTGGTTTAAAGTGACATTATGCTCATTTTTATGCCCTCGCCATAAGATGGCTGGACATATAGTGTTACTCTTTTCCGTCATTCCGTCCTTCTGTCCCTCCGTCATTCCGTCATCATCAGTTTTCATTCATTATCTTTGTAAGAGTTGCACACATTCAACTCAAATTTGGCATATGGATATATCATGAGAAAATAAGGTCAAGTTCAAATTTGGTCATGGTCTGATGATTTTTGACAAAGTTATGCCCCTTGATAAAATTTTCAGTTTCCGTTCATTATCTCCCCAACATTTGTACACATTCAACTCAAATTTGACATAAAGATAAGTCAAAGGAATGGGCAAGTCAAGTTCGAATTTGGTCATGGTTCGATCTTTTTTGGCAGAGTTATGCCCCTTTCACTTTGAAAATTATGTGAAATTTTCAGTTTCCCTTCATTCTCTTCCCAACAGTATGACACATTCAACTCAAATTTGACATATGGATACGTCAAAGGAATGCACAGGTCAAGTACCAATTTGGTCATGGTTTGATGATTTATGGCAGAGTTATGCCCCTTCCACTTTGAAAATAATATGAATTTTCAGTTTCCGTTCATTATCTCCCCCATTTTTATAACACATTCCACTCAAATTTGACATATGGATATGTCAAAGGAATGCGCAGGTCATGTTTGAATTTGGTCATGGTTTGATGATTTTGGACAAAGTTATCTATCTTGAATATTAGAAAAATTTGACTTTTCAGTTTCAGCACTCATACTTTTGTGTAAGTGTATGTAGTAATTTTTTTGGCTATAAATATGCAAAATGCAATTTACAAAACGTTAACACTGAATAGTTTCAGTGCCTTGAACTGTGTATAAAATGGTTTGTGTTAACATTGAATAGTTTTAAGGGCTTTAAACTTAACATCAAAAAAACATTGAATAGTTTTAAGGGCTTTAAACTTAACATCAAAAATATAGTTTGTGCAAACAAATTTGGAACTAAATCTAACTAACATCTGAAATTTTGGCTGCATGCGGGCCAGCATCTGTGGCGTGATGACACATTTCTAGTTTCATTGTCAAGTTGAGCTGAATTGACTACATGTATATGTTTCTGAAGATTTGACTGCTATAATGGGGCTTGGTTAAGCAACAGTTGATGTTGGAAAATGTCTAGTATAAAATATAAATCTGCCTTAAATATTAATAGACTGTCCCACTCTTTTTATAACTTGAAAGTTAAAGGTAAATTTTGATGGAAATTTATACAAATTTCCTTGCACCACATTTTCACTTTTTACATTGTAAAGCAGAACACCAGTCCCTAATTTTTATGAAAATTTAGAAAATGTTTTAAATCATGAAAAAACTGTCGTCCAGTGTACATATAAAATGATTTGACTTAGAAGTCACAAAACAATACTACTAGACAAATATTCAGGAATTAAGAATATTTTGGGTTTTTCCCATCTAAATCCACCTTTACAGTTACAGCTTCAAAAATATGTGCAACAGGTTGACTTATCTATTATGACAGATAGTGCACCGTGAAGCTATAACTGTACCTACGGCTTAGCTGGGAAAAACTCACATTTGCCAAGTTCCACACAACATCTATTGCATGTCCATAGATCTAAAAATAGCCTTTGCTCCTCTAGTAATTGTGTGGAAACAAAATATTACCTGAAACAAGAAAAAGGCCACATAGATTGTGAAATTTAGTTACATTTCCTTAACACTCAATGCAATTTTATTTATTTTTTGAGAAAATTAAATTGATGTAAAATAATGTATTTGCAGGATCTTATAGAGACTTTAAACAGAAATAATCTGACCAGTTTAACTCAAGAAACTCGCCTTCAAGATGAGCAGAGGAAAGCAGCAGAACGCCAAGAACGCCTCGAGGCCAGCCTTAAATTACTTCAGGAGGAAGAGAGACGAAGGACACTTGAACAAGAGAAAGAAAAACCATTGATCGATGTTGAAGAAAAACTTGTAACAGATTTTGAAACAAAAAATACACTGCTGGATAACGCGTTTCCGACGACGCAACCAAAAACAGAAGAATCGCCATTTGTTAACGTTACTTCACCGCCACCACCCATGAATTTATATGGCTCATATCGTATGAGTGAAAACTTTAACGTTGAACAAAAATCTTCAGAACAGGTTTCAACTCAGCCGTTTTCTCCGCAAGATTCGATGCGTTATAATCATGGCGAAGAAACCACTGAAACAACAACAAGTCTCAAGGAAGTTAACTCTGGGTTTACTGCCGCAAAATCTGTCTCCGTAGAAAAACAGGAAACTGTTGACGATGTAGAGGATATTGAAGAAGATATTAGAGTAGAAAGAAATAGCGATGAAAGTGATAATGATAAGATTAAGGAAGATGATTTTGACTTTTAGATTAAAGATTTTCTAAGAGGATGGAAACAATGCAACTTTTGGATAATGTAAATTAATACAATTGTGTTTTGAGTGATTAAGTGATTGCAATGCAAAGCAAAGTAAAAATGGTTTTACACAGTATCGGACAGATGATAAAGCGATTTGCTCAGATTCTGGGATTGTTTTTTTTTTTATATTGGAAAAATAGTAAATATGTATATCCTAATCAGAACTTGTTGTACAATTTAAAGGATGCATGTTTTTTTCTCGATTGAAAGATAAGATATTTGGCAAGGTAAGGGAAGTATGAGAATTATGTCTAACAAAACCCATTTAATTATCACAAAGATCCTGTATGTTGTAATTAAGGATGTAACATACAGTTAAGTGAAGTTTTATATGAAATGCTAAATTTTGTAATATCTTTACAAATAATGCTTTTTGAAATTTACAATATAAATAAATCTTCATTTGAGCATCAGATTTATGATATAAAACCATGTAAAAATTTGCGTTAACAGGGTCATTAAGTTTAACTGGACTCATTAAATCCTTGAATCTTTGAGACAGTTTAATTAGTTATTAGTTTGTAATTTTTACAAAGTATGATATTTTGCAAGACACTAATATTTTTTCTGTTGCTGTTTTAATTTAATATATATCTTTTATCATAATTTATTTTTCCTGTGTTTTTTTTTTTAAACATTTGAAAGTTTTATAATTTTCAAATATAACATGTATTACTACATTATAACTGTGATATTTTTATATTTATTAATTTTATGCATTATCTATGTGTCTTTTGTGGGTGTTAATATTCTATTATTATTCTTTTTTGTGACTGGTATTTTGATTATAATGTAGTTAAAATCTAGAATTGTTTAATCTTTTAAAGTAGATTTTTAATATTTTTTTGCTTGTAAACTTATGTTTTTTAATATAATTTATAAGTAAAAGATACATATATAATTGGGATTGCGTTATGTAAACTAGGTGTTATGTATTTGTTTTTATTGTTGTTTTTTTATGAGAGGTATTTAAAAGAGAAAATATTTTATATACCAACCCTATTACAAGTAGAGAAATTGATAGCAAACAGCATGGATCCTGATCAGACTGCGCAGATGTGCAGGCTGGTCTGGATCCATGCTGGTCGCAAACCCATTATGTTAGTTTTGTCGTGACGCGCCTCATTTATCCTAATAGAAATGTTGTACATGTAATTAAAATTAGTACTATATGTTATATCCACTCTTTTGCGACAATTGTATCTTCAGCTTTTAGTTTAAATGTTATTTGTCTCTCACTGCTTATTCAGAAATAATGTAGGATATTCAGTAATTGGTAACTTGAGGAGAAATTGGTAATTACTGGTTAGTTATCCAGGAAAGCCAATCAGATGGATCACTGCAGAGATATGTCAAAAAAATTGTGTTAAAATTGGTATAAAAAAAAAATCACAGAGAGAAATTTCAAAGAATAAACTTTACTGTATGAATTTGAATAAAAAAAGAGACTTGCTTGATTTGGTTATCAACAGAAAAAATTCATCTCTGTCTATTTTTTGTGTGCCTGGAGAGTTGGAAAAAAAACCATAACAAATATTTACAAATATGTACCCCCATTTCTGTTTAATTTGACCAATTCAGTTTTTTCAAGAGTCATTTTCCCAAAGTTTTGAATTTCTTTTGATGTTTTCTTGTGTTTAACCCTTGTTTTCTTGTGTTTAACCCTTAAAGTATCAAAGACTTTTATTATTAGGAAATAAGTTAATGTCCTGCAAAATCCAGTGGTCATTTTGTATTAATGAGAAAAAGAGTTGAATAGTTATAACTTAAGTTATGTATGAAAATAATTATGCATTGTTTTGTTTTTATGTCAAATAGAATAAATATAATGAGACCTCTGAAGCCAAGTGGTTTAGATTGTCGAATTTGAACCACTTACTTCTCACAACTGTGGGTTTGAATCCTGCCTCAAGCTTTGGATCATGTGAAGAATCTATCAAGGTAGAATGCTAAAGATGTACCCTGCCGGGGTACTCAGGTGCCAGAGCATGCCTGAAATAATGATACACACAGGGGTGCACCTGAGGTCTTTCCCAAAAGTCACAATAATTTTTATGTCAAGTCTGCCCCCTAATGAGCCCCCCAGATTGAGTGCCCCTGCAGGTTGAGTGCCCCTACAAGCCTGCAGGTTGAGTGCCCCTACAAGCCTGCAGGTTGAGTGCCCCAACAAGCCTGCAGGTTGAGTGTCCCTATGAGCCCACAAATTGAGTGTCCCCTATGTGCTTCCAGATTGAATGCCCCTACAAGCCTTCAAGTTGAGTGCCCTGACAAACACACAAGTTGAGTGCCCCTTATAAGCCCGCAGGTTGATTGCCCTGACAAACCCGCAGGTTAATTGTCCCTAATAGCATATAGGGTTACTGCTCCCTATGAGCCCCAAGAGTGAGTGCCCTACAAGCCTGCAGGTTAAGTACGAAAACAACATTATGATAACAACAAGACAGTTTCAATATTTATCAGATTTGCACACAGCTGTAATATTCCTTTTGTTTATACCTTCTGTATTTACTAGTAATTAAAAATGTGAACAGAAATCAATGACTCTCCACACATTTATTGATATGTTTGTTTAACAGGTGATGAATATAAAGAGATAATGTTAAACCTTGTGTAATATGAAGTGTGAAATACTAAAAAACTGTATATACGTATATACTTTTCATTTAAAGTGACGATATTTTCTAATCTGTAAACCTCTTAATGTATATAATGAAACACCGCAAATTACAGTAAGTTCAGTGTCCATTGCCAAATTGGAACCTAAATGTAAATTCTTATGAATAGGAAGTGATCAGGCCGCAGTCACTTTACAAAAGACATTTGTATTGCTTTTATTTCCATATCATCTGTCGTATCTTTTTAGTAAAGTTACATTTAATGGCATCATTTATCTTCTCTGTGTTTAAATCTTTCCAATAAACCATGCCTTAGACTGATAAACTTGCCTATAATGTCTTGATTGTCCTTTATTTCCAGTTTTATATCTTTAAACCTTTTGCGGTCTGTCGAAGATAGCTTCTCCTTGGATATTAATCTGTTAGTTATATGTTTTTGTGGGCTATAGATTAATTTGAAATGTCTTCTGTAAACACTGAGTTTCTTAAAACAAGAAAAATGTGTTTACAGTTTTCTATCCTTTCTTCGGAATAAAAGATAATTATTTAAGATGAAATATTATTGATCAAAATTTGAAGAAGGGTAAATCATAAAGTCCAGAGAAACTTACAGCTATATGTAAAGAGTAAGGACATGTATACATTGGAAAGTCATTAATTTATGTATACATTGGAAACAGTCATTAATTTAAAAGGAAAACTCGACCTGATGAGGGTCAAGGTGACTTTGAGGTCAAGGTGACTGAGGTCAAGGAGAAACTTGAATAGTTCAACATGTCAATTTTTGCAATGTATTGCCAAAGTATGAATTAAATTCCTAAATACATGATAAAGCTATCACAACCTGATAATTTGACATTGACTAAAAGGTCATTTTAAGGTCAAAGTTTATATTTGAATAATTAAGGTTTGAAGGTATAAAACTGGAAATAAAGGACAATCAAGACATTATAGGCAAGGTTTTCAGTCTATGGCATGATTTATTGGAAACATTTAAACACAAAGAAGATAAATTTTGCCATTAAATGTAACTTTACCAAAAAATCTGCCACATGATATTTATGTTTATAATTTGTCCGGAACACGAGGCCTTTCAACACATATCATGATGATATCAGGATAGGAAAAAAAGGAACGAAGATCTACTGGTGCTACAAGGTCTGTTCAAGCTGGGTTTGAATGAATTAAAACTTAAAATTGCTAGTGTGTAGGCATGAAATAGTTGATTACACGCACACAGACGATGGACAACATGCGATCATAAGTTCAAATTAACCACAAAGTGAGCTTATTTCAGGGTGCATAATAAAACAATATACACGTCAACATTAATTTTGAAAACATGAATACACAAAAGTGAATTCAGTGCAGGAGACAAAATTAACATGCTGTATTAGCTGAATGCAGATATAAATTAGTTTTTCCATTGAGCCTCAAAATTTGGAAACAAATAAACCATATATATTAAAGCTGCACGCCAAATAAAATCTTCAAAAGCAGCCTAATGTTTGTATATTTCTGGTTTTTACTTTCTTCATCGATTTAAACAAATATCTCAGTGGTCACTTCATCTTACCAGCTCTACTGGATAACTAATCAGTGATTACCAATATCTATAACCAGCTCTACTGGATAACTATCCAGTGGTTACCAACATTGGTAACCAGCTCTACTGGATAACAAACCAGTGATTACCAATATCTATAACCAGCTCTACTGGATAACTACCCAGTGGTTACCAACATTGGTAACCAGCTCTACTGGATAACAAACCAGTGATTACCAATATCTATAACCAGCTCTACTGGATAACTATCCAGTGGTTACCAATATCAGTAACCAGCTCTACTGGATAACTACCCAGTGGTTACCAACATTGGTAACCAGCTCTACTGGATAACAAACCAGTGATAACCAATTTAGGTAACATGCAATACTGGATAACTAACCAATATCAGTAACCAGCTCTATTGGATAACTAACCAGTGATAACCAATTTAGATAACAAGCTCTACTGGATAACTAAAGAGTGATAACCAATATTGGTAACTAGCTCTACTGGATGAATAACCAGTGATTATCATTATCGGTAATCAGTTCTACTGGATAACTAACCAGTGATTACGAATATCGGTAACCAGTGCTACTCAATAACTAACCAGTGATTACCAATATCAGTAACCAGCTCTACTGGATAACTTACAAGTGATTACAAATTCCCCACAAGTGACACAATGTTTTATAACAAGTTGAGTGACAAGTAACTATTAGACTCAGATAAATTGTCACAGAGAAATAACGCCTTGCTCGAAGATCAAACCAGTGACCCCTGGTTTACTACTTCAATGGTCTTCTTATAAAACTATAAAAAAGGGCCATGACCCCTGTTCACCATAACATAATAGCAAATAAATGACCTGCAAGTCCATTTTGGTAGAATGTATGTCCATATGGATTACTTTGGTGCCTAAAACGTTTCATTCTGTTGCTTTTAATATGTGGCTAAATTTCACTAATGGTGGGGGAAAAAATTAAGAGAAGCCAATTAAGTACCTATTTGTATTTGACAAATCAGAACTGTCATTCAATCAAATTTTTAACTTTTGCTTGTCAAAAGTCAAGGTCACAAATCAAGATCAAAGGCAAAAAAATAAATTGGCACCCATGCTCACTGTTTAGAATCCAGTACAGATGCTTTCTCCAAGCTTAACCTTTGCGGTTGTATCTCACACATCTTTGATTGATTCTGGAAACTGAAAGTACCTCCAACAAGAGAAATTCATTAACTTTTTAACTGGGCATACAGTTATAAGGACCAGCAACAACAACAACAACAACAACAACAAACAAATACTGTAAACTTTAATATGCTATTTAATGGCAACACATAACCAAACACTAAACTGTCTAACTTCATTTACAAGTTACATCATACAATATATCCACACTGTGGAAAAATTAAACAAATATTTTGCGAGTGATATTCAGTAATTCATGAAATGTTGCTTAGATAATTTTTACAATCTACACTTTGTACAGAAAATACAAGACACCAAGGGATATGGCAAGATACTCTGACGCACCTAAGTCTGAAGACACTTATTAAAGCGAAACATGTTTTGACAAAAAATTGTAATTTTATCCAATGATGAATAACAAGCATTCATGTTTCCTCTGCGAGCCTCATTCTCGAAATCTGCCCAAACAATTAAAAACATATTGCAATAAATTGAGGGTTCAAAATAATGTAAAGATAAGAACCTTCCGAGATTTTTACAAGTTTCAAAAATCTAAATTTTGCTGGCATTCGATGCTTTGATTTGAAACTTTTTGGTAAAAAAATGAGGTTCGTTTGCACCAATTTGCAAGAAAAAGACTACTTCAGGTCAAAGCATATCCCAGACAGACATTTTTATTTATTTTATAAAGTATGACAGTTTAGATTTTTTTTAACTGTATTGTCCAATACATTTATCAATTTATCACATCAGAAGCAACATTTCAAAAACTGCTTTCCATCACCTCTATCATTGTATTGCACGTCAAACTAAATAATTATATATCAGTTAGTGTAGGCCGTCTCCCCGTTAAAAACCCCACTGCACTGCAGCTTACATAGCAACCTTTAGTTTAATCAACCAGAACAAAATAACTGATATATATATTGTAACACATAATAAAGCATATACATTACTAGTAAGTTGTCAAATCCAAAAAAAAAAAGCTTTAATTGGACTGTTACAATATTAGAGCAAATCCATTACATCAAATTCGGAAGATTTATGATAAACTTGGGATTTAATATTCAGGACGTATGTCAGCGACAAAAATCATGCCACGTCAAACACAAAAATTCTCTTGCAACTAAATATTTTGCTGCTTGTAAAAATGAAAGCCATTTCTCGCCACTTTAATAACTTATAAATGCATTAATCAATACACATAAATTTAAAAGGGACTTTGAAAACTCTCTTCATTCTTTCCAATTCAAAATGTGCAGGAATAATTTGGGGATCAATTTTAAAGTAATAATAAGGTTTTAGGTATTATTAAAGACGTGTTCAGGAGTTTTCATATAGACATATTTTTTACATTAAAAATTATAACTGTTGAAAAGCATTTCTTAAAACTTGGCAGGTCACTAGAGTATGATAATAAAAGCATTTTGAAGCGAAAAAGAAATTAGGGGTTACCATCCTCGTTATTGAGTTATCTGCCCCTGAATTGGACTTTTTTGCTTAAATAAAGGGTAGAAAAATTCATAATACAGTTTTAAATTTCAATTTGCTTATACTCCCAAATAATGTCCTTTACTCTTAAAAATCTGAAATTTAGCCAATCTATTATATTTTTAATATCAAATTATTTTTGAAACTTTTTAAATCACCTTTCTATGTACTTGACTCAATAAAAATTTTATTCAACATTTCTCAAAAATATATATACTAAATTTTACACTAAAATAACCTTCTTTTGGCTATTCAACACTATTTCATGTTATTTTGAAAAGTTCAATTCATAAATAAACACATTAAATCTAGACAATATGGCAGTTAATCTTGTGCATCAAAATCTGTATTATGCAAGAAAATATTTCATAACCTAGATTTTTTATGCTATAGCAAACAAAAAAAATAAACATCTCTGTTTCTTTTATACATCATTTATACATATAAATACAAACAATACTCTATAAATATCACAGTCAAACAATTCAACAATTATGTAATCTGCACAGAAGTGATATGTAGTCTTTACTCCAAAGACTAAGGTCTCATGACTTTGTTCAATATATCTTCAAAAAAAAAGCAAAAAAACAACAACAAACAACATATTTGTCTGATCAGAATCCATGCTGTTTGCTATCAGTTTCTCTACTTGTAATAGAGTTTGTAAGCGAACAGCATGGATACTGATCAGACTACGCGGATGCGCAGGCTGGTCTGGATCCATGCTGGTCGCAAACGCATTACGTAGGTTTTGTCATGAAGCGGCTCATTTCAGCCTATGCTGAAAGATGAGAGGCTAAGAGCTAATCCAAATGGGACTTGAACCCATGTCATGGAACCAACCAACCAGAACTGGTACCATTTACAAAGGTCTTGGTTTACTTTATTTAAAATTTAAGACTCATGGCATTAAGCTGATTCTATTTCGACTGAGTTAAAGCAGCATGCCTCCAGATTCATGCTAATTTTCATGAAAGTTTTGAAAATATATTTAAAAGTAAAATATTGTGAAGTGAACAAAGAAAGAAATTTACACATTGCAGACAATCCACATTAATTATCAAAAAGGAGTCAAAATATGCAAAAATAGTATTTAATTGCACATTACACGTAAATTATTACTTGAATCTTAAATCTTTTTACTTTCCTTAAAACGGTAGTACATTTTTTTCTAAAATTTGATTTGAAAATCTTGAAATATTTTGGCTAATCTGGAGGCATGTAGCTTTAAAACTATAAGGTCATAACTACTTAGATCTAGGCAACAAAGGATAGTATACATATGTACATGTATCTTCACAAATATATTTCTTCTTTCCGTATAAATCAATTAATTCACATAAAATTTTCTTTGATTCAATCTTTTTTTTATCATTAACACTTCAAATAAAAAATTATAAATAATAAAGACCATTTATATTTAACAAAAGACAGCACGTTTTGATCATAGTGTGTTAAAGTATCTTAGAGATACAATAGTCTGTCATTAGAAATCAAGATATCTTTTTATCATAATAATCCTTTATAATAGCGGCTTTAATGACTAGTTAATGCAGACAGTATAGAGCCAGGCCAGCATACCCAAGTAATGCAGTCTGACCAGAATCTATAGTGTAACAGTGTCATCTGCTAAGATTTACCATTTTGATAACAGAACCTTTTACATTTACTACATGAAAGTTCCAAAATTCAAAGCAACACAAATCCATATCACAAGTATAGAGAGAAAAGGCTTCCAGGCTTCTTAAAAAACAACAAAAATCGAGCTTTCATTACTTATTATGACAATAATTATTTAACTTAACCCTTGCCATCTGAGCTCAATTTATCCAAAAACAAGTTGTATTTTAGAAACTGACTAAAGACACTGACAAAATATTAAACTAATACTAGAGTATGACTTTGACACCACATGGTCCTAATTTATTCTTTAGTTGGTATCCATGCTGTCAACAATTTGATCTACCACACTCCAGTTGAGATGCGGGAAATTTTCAGCATTGTCCATGCCTGGGTCAAGGCCGCATTCACTCAAGATTCGAGACAAGTTCCCGTTTTGACCGGGACTGCCTTCAAATTTACCAGGAGAAGCTAGCACATTAAAATCTAAGAAGTCATCCGGACTATCACCTAGACTTGGTGAAGTCTGCAATATTTTTTTAAGATCGCTTGTCTCTGGCGACAATCCTAACGCTTTTCTATCCCCTAGGGTGTCCAGAAAACTACCATCGAATAATCCACTGTTACGTAATGGCGTAAAACCGTGAATAGGTGACGGAAGATCTGCAGCTGAATGACTAAGACCTTTGGCAGGAGTAGATGTGTTTAATAAATGTTCCATATCTTCAGCCTCATGGGACTTGAAAGGTTTCGAAAATATTTCTTTTTCTAAATTGGCTATAAATTTAACCCCGTCCTCGTCTTCATCAGAACTTTCGTTTGACAAAGTCCTGACCTTCTGTTGAAGTTTCCGCCTCTTTGAGCCCGTCGTTTTCACTTTTTGCTCCTCCTTTTTATAAAATGTCGGCTTTGGTATCCCTGGCTTCACTCGCGGTCTTTTCGATTTAGTTCTTTGGCCCGTAAATTCATTTGAGCTGACAATTTCACCTGAGCTTGTTATATCAGTTTGACTTAGTCTATCACTGTCGAGGGACGAGGCAGTGTCAGTATTTTGGCAGTTGATCCAGGCATGTTTCACGATATTCATTGGTTTATTATAAAAATGCTCTTTTTGTAAGCTGGTAGTATCACAGTAATGCTCTTGAGGGACAGGACTTGCACCGGACACTTGAATCGAGGCTACAGCTGCTGACACTGTAACAGAATATCAAACAAGATTTAGCACAATTGTTATTCCTGAAGTCATAGTTTCATTAGTTTCATAAATCATTTCAGTATGTGTTAAAAAGTTTAAGAAGCACACTTCACAATACCAAAGTTTATTAAAAAGTGCTTTAAACCCTTCTTTAAGCTACATGTAAGTATTGTATTATAGCCTTGTCCACTTTTCAATCTCTTTTTTAAACGCTATCATTTTTATTTCTCAAAATAATTCATTTTAGGTTTTTATAAATGTTTCTAAAAAAAATACTCATTAGCTAAATATATATGAATAATACTGTAAACATCCTTTGTAGCAAAAAAGAAATTAACTACATAAATCCACCACAGCTGCATAACAGGTGTTCCGCATGTGGCCATGACTTACACTATACCCCCGTTCCCCCTCTACAACCCAAAACCCTTAAACATCATCCAAACATCATAAGTATTGACAAAAATCATTTATATAAAATTTTTTTTTAGGACTCTCAAATTATTTTTATTTTTGAAACAAGGGTATAGTGTAAGTCATGGCAAAACACCAAACACATGTGAGCCGCATATATAGACTATTATAATCATCCTGATTATCCATCCTGATTATCCAATGAAAAACGATGTAACAAACATGCAGTATTATAATAGAACATATATTAGTAGTAATTAAGTATAAATACCTTCTGATATGATGGGACTCGGACAGGCTGACATCTGACCTGGTGTAGACAGGTTCAGGAGTACTTGTGGCTGTGTAGGATTTGGACTGGCAGGATTGAATGACTGATTCACATTAGGGATCGGAATGAGGGCATAAGCACTGTATCCTGTAGGACGGGGCAGGATTGGTGGTTGACCTGAAATATCAATTATGTAAATGTTCTTATATATCTAATATCCATGCAAAAATATATCTGAAAGAACAAAATAAATTTTTAAAGTTTTAAACAAAATTCAGCACTTAATTGATCTTTGATTTCGAAATTTGTTGTAGTTAAAAATTCAATAATTCAAATTTCAGACTCTTTGAGAATGTTCATAAATAGACATGTCCATGATGTGATCACCAGTACTGGTACAGTACCCAGAAAACAGATTCCTGAGTGATGTCCAATTACTTCCTGAATGAAAAAACAACAACAAAAAACAACATATGAAATGTTAAAAATTGATCTTACCTTTCTTTCTAATGGCAGTATTGTGTGGCAGTTGTACTGACTGACTAAATGTTTGTGGAGACACGGCAGACAGCTGGCCCATAGAGCTGTACATAGGTATAATGGGTATTTGTGATGGCAGTGTGGGCATTGAACGATGCGTCTCTGATGCATGATGGGAACCTGTGAAGAAAAACAACATCATGTCTATACAAAACAATCTCAGTTAGGTTTCATAGAAAGCATTCCATGTTAAAAGAACTTCATCAAGGTTTTTTTGACAAATATTTTTTCAAGATTATTATTCCATTTGGTGAAGGTCTAAACAAATAATTTGTTCGCAAAAATTCATATTACTCACTCACTCCATTGTTCCAGAATATCGCAATGCTTTTCACTCATATTTGGCTAAAAACCTATGATTTCCAATCAATTTCCGATTATATTTCTTAATAATCTTTTGCAAGTCTTTCTGCTTAAAGTGCCCCCAGTTGATTTATGTAAGAATTATGTAAGATTTATGTAAGAAATTCAAATTTCATGTTTTTATTTTAGCCTGTTGGACCTTAGTGGAGTTTCTTTACGATTCTTTGCAAATAGAAAATCATCCATGTGAAGTACACCTAGCTCTATATTGTTAGCTGACCAATATAAACTCATCTACAATAGCAGACGAAAACTTCATTTAGGAAATTCAGCTGCTTTAATGTAAAGTGACTCATTATTTTACTATATGTCTATTACCCAGGGCTGCCATTAGTTTCAAAATTTGGAAGTCAAAGACTGCAAAATCTCTCATATTGGAAGTCGCATTATATAGTTAAAGTTGGATAAGTATTAGATTTTGGAAGTCACAAGCCAAAATCAAGGAGTAAATGACTACAAAACTTCTGTTTACAGAAGCCCAGATTATGGTAGAGGTGCTCTTAGTAACATACTTAAATCTTGTATTATAGATATCTTAAAAACAGTTATTACTTGAATGTTTTTCTCGTGGATACTGTTTCATCTTTGGCTCAACGTTTGACTTGATCGTCCAGTATGATCCATGGCGCTTCGATGGCTCGCGCTCGAATATATTGTAAAGTGACAAATTGTGCCGGATGGAATTCTGAAAATGAATTAGGTTGATCAAGTAAACCATGATAAAATGTTAAATATCATGTATGTGTGAATTTAAATTTTATGTTACCCTCAACAGTCATCCAGTAACATTATTAGTCACTGTCAGTAATCGAATATTCCACCCGTCCATTCGTAATTACAAGTAGAATGTAAGAGAACTCGCTGCAAAACAAGTAGAAAAATGTTGCTTGCACATTGGATTTAGAAGCTACTCGTCCTGCAGGTCGAATGACTCTGAAAATATTTTTCGATGCCTGCTAGTATGCCAACAAATGACAAATTTTTCAATCCATTTTAATTAGATTTACTCAAGACTGATCTTACTTTGCTTTTTGTGTATCATTCATTTAAACAGAGGGTCAAGGTAAGTGATTTAGTCAGTTTCTGAAATGATGCTAATTGGCCACATTTCAGCTGACTGTACAATTCTTTGCTATTTGGTTGCTAGTAAAGTATCGGATAGTGATTTAGCTTCTTAAAATGAAAGACAAAATCACTTTGTTTAAATTTCACTATCATTATGACCAATAATTTTACATTCAACACTGCTTTCTTCATATATTGAGTTTCTGGCAAGCTAAAATTCATTATTAAAACATTAAATAACATGTTTGACCCATAGGGGGTTCTCTTGTGATCCTGTAGTTTTCTACAGAAGAAAAATTTCTGAGGCTTAATGTGCCTTAAAGTGATCTTACCCTCCAACCAGGTTTGGCAGTGTGTTTATAGTAAGGAAAGGTGTCCTCTATCCACTTGCATATCTCCTTTAACATCATTTTACGATCTTCACGACTGTACAGTGCCATCTGTATCATTGACATGTAAGAGAAAGGTGGCCTTTTCGTTGCTCCGCATTCTTTGCTTATCTGAATCAAACAGAAAAAAAGAAAAAGAAATTTTGATCATCATCAATCTGAAACAAACCAATCAAGTTAAGCTGGGTATCCCTCATTTTCTAAACACATAACCAAGACTGACTGAATTGAATAAACAAAGTTTTGTAAACTTTAATACTTGAATTTTTTTAAAAATAAGAGAGAAAAAACACAACAAAACAACAACATAAAATTGACTTAAGACAAAGGCCAGACAGGATAGCAGAATTTTTTGATACCATACAAAATTTTGTAAAAAATTTATTTAAAATAGCAAAATGTGGATAAGAAATCCTGTAGCAAAATTATCTCTGAAGCGAAATTAACTTTTTTTTATTAAGAAAATTTAGGCATATGGCTAAAGATTTAAATCGCTAATGGCAGTGAGCCCTGTATTTTCTTCCCACATTTTACAAGGGTCCTACAGATTACTGCTGATCCCAGTATTTCTGCCAATTACAATTAGTTCGTCCGAAAACGGTATTTACAATTTTGAATGACGTTTCAAAATTTGACTAATTGAATATTATAATTATGTTCCTCAACAAATGATAAGATTTTTTTCACAGTTACTGACCTGTTTAATTTCTTCAGGTGAAAGTGTCATGCAATGTATATTTTGCTGTTGCTGATACTGGCTGTTACTTGAAGGTTTCTCGTCTTTCAGCTGCATTCCTTTTAACCACTGGATATTTGTCAACGACTGATTCAAATTAACTGAAATCCCAAGATTGAGTAATCATAAATGTTATAAATGGTGAATTCAGAAAAATAAGTCAAAAGATTTTTATCAATAAAAATTGCAAAAGCAAGGAACATTATCTCTATCATATGTGCTTTGTGTTAATTAAAAAAACTGAATAATTTTACTTCTATTGAATATATTTGGAATTTAAAATACGAAAGCCGGACCTGTGTGCACATAGTTTTTAAGACATAACCCTGTACTGTACAAAGGAAATGTTTAAAAATCATGGAAAATTGTTTTGTGACCTAAGTAAGAGCCACTCTTAAAATGGCACTGCCTATTCAATCTTTTTCAATTATTAAATATAAACTTTTATTGTTATAAATGTTAAATTACCTTTTTCTGGCTCACTTGTCTCTGATTCCTGAGAGCTACAAACTGAAGGGTCCAAAGAGTTGCTATCAATACCCTGATCAAGTTCTTCAATATCCCCACTTTCATTCACAGTTATAACAACACCCCCTGATCCGTCACACTTAAACATCTCGGCCACCCTCTTTTCTGCCTTAGATTCCGGGGAAACATTATTTGTTTCCATCGGGCTATATCTGCCTCCCGATGGGTGGCTCTTTTCTGCATCAAATGATGAGGAAGCATCTGGAGTTTCTAAACTGCTACTTGCACTGATAAAGCCGGAGCTATTGTTCATTGAAGACGAGTGTGCCCCTGGAGTTGATATGTCGAGTTTCTGTTGACTTTGCACCGAGTTTTGCCGAGCAAACGGCGATGGTATAACATAAACAGGCCTGTGTGTGCTGGATTCTATGATTACATGAGATTTTCTTTTTTGACAACTTGGCTCGCCAGTAAGCGGTGTTGATGTTAGAGGACCTGTAGAAGTAGCACCATCACTTGGTGAATCAGCAGGGTTTATCGGGATGAAAGTGCTGCGATGTGCTTGTGATGCAGTTTGCTGGCTGATGGGGGAAATGTCACTGAATGTTGGCACAGCTTTTGGATTAGTCTTTGGTAGCATTGAAATAGGTGTGTGATGAATATTGACAGCTGGTTTCCCCATAACAGGAACCGCTTCATTGCAGAAAGAAGTCTTTTTAAACCCGCTCAGACCTGAGTCCTGATTTGAGGACAGTTGAATAACCTTCCTTGTGCCTGGATGACTAGTTTTGAAGTTTGGACTGTAGGCACTGAATCCTGATTTGGAATCCTGCTCATTAAGTTTCAATGGTGAAGTTTTAAGAAAATCATGTTTTTCAATATTCCCTTTACGTGATTTAACTGGTGTGGGAATAACATAGGTGTTCATTTTAGACTGTTCGCCCGAGTGTTGATTTGAATTAAAAGGCGAAGCTCTTTCACCAGATTTTTCCATCGGCATATATACATCTATAGCAGAATCATCTTCCGACAAATCCTGTTGTAAGAAAACACTGCTAGCTGACTTGTTACTGTCATACTCCTCATCGTTAATATTTGACAAATTAAGCTTCACGTCCTCAGGAGGATTGAGCAACTTCTTCTTGCAAACAGCAACTTCCCCACTTGGGGAGTCAAAATCTCTTTCTAAAGCTGCAGCACTTGCCTTTTTCTTGACTGTCACATTAGACCCTGCTGAATACTTTAGCAGAGACTGACCTTGAGATGACTCTGACTTTAAATAATCTTTACTAAGAATGATAACGTATGTGTTTTTACTTCCTTCTTGAGATATTTTCTGGATCTGGCCATGGGGTATAGCACCAGTAAGATGACCAACTGCAGTGCCATGATCCATCGTACCTTCTCTATCTTGAAAACCAGAGTCAAACATTTTCTCTCAAAGTAACTCAAATAACATCTGGAAAGAAAAGAACATAATTAATTAATGAAACTGTAAATGAAAATGCTAAAAAAATTGTTTTTGATGTTCAAAAAATCCCTTTGTATACTTGCTAAAGTGATCTCATAAAATTTTGGGAAATACACTTTGAATTTGAAAACAAGGTCAAACCTTATAATCTAGGACACCTAGCACAGTAAGCCCAGCTATTGTTTGGTTTTATTAACCTGTCTATTACATACTGATTACATAGTCGATGCACAAAGTATATTAATCTTCAGTAGATTTTCGGTAAGTTCTGTGAGATATACGCTGACAGCCTGTACGATGGAATTTAATTTGTATCTATGAACTAAAGGTACTGAGCGTTATCGCGCAATAGGGTAAAGCACAAGTTTATAATCTGTTTTAAGTTCGAGACCATGCACGTTGGTCCATGTTTTTTTTCCTTGTTAATACTTTCAACATTATTAAAGCTATATATGATTATTTTTTATGTTGTTTGTTTTGTTTTATTATGTTTTACTTAATTTTGTAAAGTCTATGTGCACTCTTTTTAAATAACATGTTTTAAGAATTCACGTTTAAAATTAAAATGGATTAAAATCAATAAATGTCTTTTCAATGCCATAAAACACACTACAAATTGGTTCCATTAAAATATACTGCAAAAGTAAAGAAAGAGTAAAGCTTAAAACAATGTCATCAGTTAGGATCTAACCACAGACCTCTCAATTATCAGGCATTCTCTTAACCGACTGTGCTATTGTGAATTAACGAAAACTTTCACATTAAGCTGGTCTGACTTTCAAAACATGACTAATATACCCCACATTAATTCTGGTAAACTACAGACTAGAGCTGTCATTGATTCAGTGCAAAGCATATCAACGATATATCAATATCAAGTGAGTAAAATCAACGATACACCGATATATCGATAATTTCCTATACTCACTTGTCTGTCATTCACTTTCATACCTGTTTCAATGATTTCAGTCAAAAACATATTCTGTACGGTGTTTTGTCCACTGCATGATTTTTTCCAGACAATATTTTTTGTCACCATTGCTATGAAATAATTCCACTATATAACAAAAGCATAACATTAGATATAAATAACTGCTTCTGTATATATTTTGGGTGAATTTTATAATTTCTAGACATTTAATTTATTAGTCAAAAGTATCGATTTTTTAAAATGTGTATCGATTATTGATCGGCAAAAAAATATCAACGATACATCAATATTGTCGATATCGATGACAGCTCTACTACAGACCAACCAAACCGAAGTGGGGTCGAATATTTAAATGAGTGCTATACTCTATTGATACTAAATTAGTAACTAATTGACAGGTCAATAAAATCAGACTATAATTGTACTACACATTGAGATAATGTGCTATTATTTTTTTGTATGGGAAATATCTCCCCTCTAGAAGTGAGATTCTGACCCAAAAGAAATATATTTCAGAATCTAGCTTTGGCACATCAAAATACTTTCACAACTAGAACCGTGAAATATAAACAGGTTTTACTTCATGCAGATTTTCTGCATCCCTGTCACAAGTTTTGGTTCCAGGGCAGTAAATTTTGGGGGAAATTATTACAAAAATTGCTTAAGTGAATACCTTAATTGTGTAAGTTAGGATTTGGGGATATCGATCTGCATGAGTTTTTTTATTAAAGAAAATTTTATTTGGGAAATGGACTTATGTAAACCTTTGTTATATAATTTTAAAAACATTTACTAAAATTTTATTTTATTGCATATTTGAAACAATGAAAAGGGCTTGACCACTTATTATTTTATTTAATGCATATTGCAAAAAATCCTTGACAAATCCCCAAAACTTCTGCTCTGGATCTGTGTCGGGGATGTGCAAGTATAATAAACAATAAAATTTTAAGATGCCTAATGTTTCTTAAAAATGTTCATATATATGCATTACAAATAATGGTTGATTTTATTAAATATTGGTTTCGTATACACAAAAATGTGCATACCTACTAAAATGTCTAACACCTTGTACAGATGCCAGTTGACTGAAATTATTCGTTACAACAGACCACATGTGCCCTCGCCCTAAGCATTTCAGCCCATTTTTACAGTGCTAGTTTGATGCATTATTTTTCCTAATAAGCTATCGTTAACCTTCCCGGGATTTGGACAGAAAATGGAAGGTATAAACGAGTAGAATTTGCAGAAAACAAAAACAAATCTGCAATTTTAATCTGCAAATTTGCATTTCTCAAACATGAGCAAATGCTGGAGAAACCCTTCAAATAATTGAATTTATTACAAAAAATGGTTAACGATCGTTTAAATTATTCTATTTTACCTGTGTATATATAGGATTAAATGGACATTTCAAATAATTTTTAGCATGCCTGGACAGGAATGACAACCATTTTTAAATTTCGAACCCTCTTTAGAATTGACCAATCGTCTTTTACGACTATGATCACGTGAACATCAGTGAGGCAAGCTGCCGAGCTTCGTTTGTCATCTAATTTATCATTGGCTTTCTCAAAATAAGTAACCAATCGGCGTGCTCGTCATATGGAACTTTCATTATTTACAAATGGCTGCCACCATTGAAACGTCAAAATGTGTCCAGACTTGTTTTAGCTAAAGCGGCATAATATGGACAGTAACTGAAGTATATAATTTATTTTAAATTAAATAAATTTTTACAACTTGATAATGTTGTCTCAGAATTACTATGTATAAGAATACCTGTTGTTTTGTAGAACAAAGTGCCAAAATAATAAAATTTGGTCAGATTGTATCCAGTTTTAACGTTTATTTTCATGTTTTAATCCAAACGATATGTCAAGTTACTCAACTTGTTTTTCATGGTTCATTAGGTAATCTATCATTCTAAAAATAACTTATTGGAAAATGAAATAGCTATCGGCCTTGGAGACAGTATACTGCCGTGTTAAATATAGAAGTACAGTAGTCTACACAGTAGAAGATAGTCCACACTTGCATATTTTATTTAAAGTTTCTAATAGAGAATCTATATATTTATTAACAGGTGGACTTTTTACAATATAAAATGAAATGAACAGTGTTGACGGTCATTAAATTGTTACCACATGTAATTCAGACATTTAAACTTGCAAACATTTAATTTGTCATATAGTTTATCAGTCTCAGTCACCCAAATTACAAATGTAAACGGTTTATTTCTGTTCTGTAGATCTTTGTATCACCAACTTCTAAAGCTGTAAATTTTGCTTATTATTTGTTACTTATATTTAAAATCTTATGAGGTAGTCACTATAATATTCAAGGCCAATATATCTCTAGCTGCCAAGGTACATGATTCATATTAATATATGTATCTGAGCTGCTTAGCTGAGATTTTGACAAAATTATGGCCCTTTGTGAACTAAAAATTTTTTTGGTTAGCATCAACTTATTATGGCGGCTCATTTAATGATTTATTTAATATTGATATACTATCAGGCACTGAGAATTGTCAGGCATGCTTTTCATCTGACAGTTCTTGAATGTTTACTATAAATCTATATCACTTTTTATGTAAGGAGCTGCTTCAGAGTAACAAATGTTAAGGTTAAGGGATCACTTCTCCATCCTCTGTCCACCCATAACAATTTTTTTCCGGACTACTCTTCAGAAACTACTGGTGCAATTTCATCAAAACTTTACAGGAATGATCTGAGAGTACTAGTCTAGTTGTGCATATTGTCTGCATTTTCTGGTTCAATGATTTTTGTCAGAGTTATAGGCCTTTAATAATTTTTATTTTTTAAATTTGTCTGGACTTCTCCTTATACCGTATAATACCACAAATGCAATTTCAATGAAACTTTACAGGATTGATCAGCAGCTCATTAGTACTTGCATATGTTACATGGGTTTTCTGGTTGAATGGCCTTTGAATAAAAAAGTTTTCTTTGTGTGTGTTGCCAGCTACTCAGAAGCTAACTACTAACTAAATAGTAAATTGTGCAATTTCATCCAAACTTAATAGGAATGGTCAGTTCTAAGCCTAAGTTGTGCATATTATCACCATTTTCTCGTACAGCCAGTTAATAATTTATTTATAAATATTTTATCCTGACTACTCCTCTTATACCACTGAGGTAATTTCAATGGAACTTTAAAGGATTAATCAGTAGCTCTGAAAGTCCTTGTGCATGTTACAGGTGTTTTAAAGTTGAATGATTTTTGTTGAAGTAATGGCCCTTGAATAAAAAAGGTGTTAATAAAGTTTGTCCAGACTACATCTCTTATACCACTAAAGTAATTTCATTTTACATGATTGATTGGTAGCTCAAATACTTGAGCATATTACAATACACAGGTTTTTCAGTAGAATGACTTAAGCTGAGTTATGGCCCTTGGATGTTAATCGCGTTTTGCACTGTTAATGATTTTTGTTTCAGCTGCAACATGCAATTGGCTTACCGCTATCATGAGACAACACGTGATCAATGATCACTCTTGTATTTTATTTATACCAAGTTTTAATTATTTAAATTAGTCAAGCATGCTGTCTCTTTTGACGGCTTTAGCTGAAGAGATTTCAGTATACATGATATAGCTGCTTTACCCCCTTGTGGCTAAGGGGTTGCCTTAAGGGGTTCAGGCATCAGAATTGCAGCCACTGTTTATCCCTGCCTGATCATAAGAGGCGACTAAATGGGTCCAAAATACTGCAGTCTATGGATCTCTTACCACCCACAGGTGAGGTGGTTAAGGTTTTGACCCCTGAAGTTGCTTTAAGTTTGTTACACCAGAGGTTAGCCAAAATCATCTTTCCTGTTTTGTTGCCATAAATAATGATGGTGCGATGTACCAAAAAAGAAAATATAGCTGCTTTACCTAACCAAAGCTTTTGGATGTAAAAGTTTTCTTCTTCTAATTTCAGGACAAACATGCCAAGAAGAAAAAAGAAATCTTCTCTTGCAACCAGACCATCACTGGTTTTCACAGAGAGTCCTGTGCATGTTCAGAATAATGTACCATCTCCTGTACTTTGTGCAAGATGTCCCCCCACAGCAAACTCGATCCCTGTCGATGAACTACACAATCTGTCATGGGTATTGATTAATGATTTAAAAAATATTCTTGCAGAAAAAAAGAAATATGCATTTCTACCATGTACCTTCAATGCCAGCTTATGGAATGTCAGTGGTTCTACTTAGGTGCCCGTTTGTGCATAAAATAATGCATAGAGGGTTACGTGAGGTCCTTCTCCACAAATTAAGCTGGATAGTCGCCATATGACCTTTTCTTTTTTGCATCAATCCATACAGTCAAATTATCATTAAAAGTTAAGGTACATTTTGTATGGAAACCAAAAAATAAAATTGTGAAAATCAAACAACAAAAAAAAATGTTCAGATGATAATATAAAATACACATTTATAAATAAAGTACACATTGAAAGTGTTTCCATAAAGATTCATATTTGACTTAAATTTAAGCTTGTTGGGGAGAAATTTTATTTTTCTTGTTCATTAGTCTCATGAACTACATGTACTGAAGGTATTCTCTTGATATTTCAACCAGTCCTCAATCATTGAAACTATTCACTTGTAACTTCACATAGTCTTTGGGGTCATCATTGAAGGTCTCTTAACAAGATCCTTAACTGTAAAAGCATGATTTTTCACCAACACATTTCTCTTGAGGAACATAAAAGTTCCTGCATTATTCAGGCTCTTGTGTTATTAATGGACACTGATTGAGTGCACTGCCCAACTAGCAAATCTAGTCTTGAAATTACAGCTTGTTTTTAGTTTCTTTTTAACCAGACCAGTCTGAAAGACATATTTATTTTACATTTAACTTAATATGGAAAAGAAAAGATACAATTCAGAAAGCTTGTAAGATAATTTTTACCCTGTGTGAAGTGCTTAATTGTTAAGGATGATTTACTTTTTTTAGTAAAAATATCAAACTGACATAACATGATATTTGAGGTTATCAGTGTCTTTTTGCATTGTTCACTGATTCATCTAAAGATTGACATATTTCAAACCAAAAATTTGTTTACAAGTCATAGAAGGGTAGGAAAATTGATTATTCAGATCATTTATATTTTCTCCTCGTATTATTTAAGTTTCCTTGTCTGTTTCAGGTTTCCCCACAATTTAGAAATGTGAGACTCTCTGGTGGACAAGGTAAACGGAAACTAACAAGGCAAAGAAGACACAGTGTTGCTGGTCATAGAAATGTTGCCGCATCATATTCAGACAATAATTCATTGAATAAAGAAAAATAACAGCACTGGGTTCTCTCGAAATAAACTGAGAAATTTTAATTCACTAAGGTTAATAGGTGCGATAAGTCGAACATTCCAAGTATAATTGAAGATGTTGAAGTGTCTATAGAAGACCAGACAGAATATGCGGGAAACTGAAAGAGAGGATGGTGATCAGAATGAAATTGCCGTGAATGACAGTCAGTGCGACAAATGTTTGGAAAATCGTCAATCTAGAAATAAAGGGCACATTCATAAAAGGGACTTGGAAAGGAATAACTTTGGTGCTAATATTCAGGAAGAAAGTGAAACCGCTTTAAATATTAATCGAGAGGTTAATGAAGTGTTAGAAAATTATGGAAATAAGTTGGATGAGCATCATGAAAGAAGTAGTAGTGGAGAAATCACTGATCTTAATGTAACAAGAAGTAGAAAACATTCGGTTATGGATAAACCTCCCATTAAAAGATTGTTCGCTTGTCAGCTTTTAGTCAAAGCTGATTCTGAAGATCAAGAATGTGCTGATGAAATGTTTGATAATGAAAAAGTAGTGCAGAACAGGACAAAGTTAAATGATGAATCATTAACTGTACCAGACAGTGAATCGGATTCCACTAACTCGCCTCATATTAGGCGATCAGAGAGAATACAAGAACTTGGTAAAATGCTAGTAAACTGCGAGTCACCGTGTAGTTATAGGAAATTGACTTGTCAGACAGTAGTGCTAGCTCCAAATACTCCAGAAAATGAGTATGGTTGGAGCAAGAGAAAACGACAGTTGATTACGTATCTCAAGAAAAAGTCATGACTGGGTTTTGTTAGAAAAAACCCATAATTTATGCACTTTTTTCAATCACATCAAATCATGTTGATAATTTATTTGTAGTCTAAGAATCTAAGATGTTTCTTTTTGTGTAAAGTCTTTTGTAGAAAAAAAGTTCAAGAGTAAAAGTAAAGTATACAGACTGTATTCAATGTTTTTATTTTATTTCAAGAGCAGATTTAAAAACTCTACAACATGCCTGTTTTAGCCTATTTTTAGCTCGACTTTTTTTGAAAAAAAAAAATTTGAGGTATTGTTACATTCATGTCAGCAGTTTTTCAGTCCGCAAACTTAAACCTTAATCATGACTTTAAGTTCTTTGTGTATTGTCTTCATACTTGGCCACAACAACCATTGGGATAACACCTTTAAGTAGACCAGACTTACCTTGACCTTCATTCATATATGACCTTGACCTTCAAGGTTAATGTCTAAATTTTGCTTGTTTTTTGCTATAAGTGGCTATTACTTTGTTATTTTTGAATGGATTGTCTTCAAACTTGAACATAATAATTTTTTAGGATTGACCTTCAAGATCTGTTACTGTTGATCTTGCAGTTTAAATAAAGTCTGTTATACAGTTTTCATTCTGCAGCTTTAGCTGCATGTATTTGAACTGTAGCATATTAATATATTTCATGTCTTTAAAAATAGCTCTTTGTTTTCACTCTTAATATATGCTAAAAACTGATAGTGACAATCTGTTTGAATAAAATTATTTTTGAGCTATCAATAAACCAGCCAAACTGGTTTTTCAAAACAAAGATAGGAGAGCATGTGTTCCTTGTTGTGCCAGGAATTTAAAAATTGTTAAATGGTGAATACATGTTCACAATTAAAATTTGACGCAATTTCAAAAGAACTATAATTATAATCATAATGATAAAATTAATTTTGCAAAGTTCTGCCTCCTTTCCTACTGCTTAAAGTAAACTATCTAACATATTTTTATGATATACTGTATAAGTGGTTAATTTTGCGACATGGAAATGTTTCAAAATATGACAAAGAAATGTGTGATCAGGGAATTTATAAAACAACAATGTTTATTTCAGACAGTTATATATAAATAATAAAAGTATTAAGCAACTTAATACAACTTTTTCAATAACGGCATTTTCCTCACATGTACCTGCATAATTAATGATCACAAAAACAGTATTATATTCAAGAAATCATATCTTTACAAATGTTTCCGCAAGCAAAGAGTCCACTTTTTGACATTCCCAAAACGTTTGTGTCACATAAATTATATATATCCACTTATACAATATTATAATTATAATATTCATCTGAATATTGATGAAAGCCGCATTCTTGAACTCTCTGGGGAATGTTAATGCAACATGTGACCTTGAATTCTGGCAGAAGTGGTTCAGTTGTCTCCAGTTATACAAGGTCATCATGGGCTTAGAACCATTCACTGTTAAAACTGTGTTTTCATGTAAGTGGCTTCTGGTCTTCACTTAATTCTGAACCATTCACTGTTAAAACTGTGTTTACATTTAAGTAGTTTATGGACTGACCATTTAAACTATGTTTCCATATAAATGGTTCTTGGTCTTCACTTAAACCGAAGTCATCATGGGTTCAGGACTGTCGATTAATTCATGGTTAAGTTACATCCACATCCATCAGTTTATCAAGAAAATACATAACTACTAGTCAATGTTTTCCCTCATAAATAATATATAACAAAAACTAGCATCAACTGAACATGTAGTTTAAAATAAATAAATAAGCAAAAGGCAGTTTTATGGGTTTTTTTTCAGTGTTTTATTCTGGTGACTTAGAATTTTACTCTCATTTTAGAAAAAAAAACAACAAATACATGTATTTAATACAAATATACATAAAATATCACTAAAAATTTAACTTAAAGAAAAAACATACCAATGACACTTATAATAACACCGACATGAACAAAATTAGATGTAGATAATAACAGCTTTATGTATTAACTTGAGTATTTAAGATAGCTTGTTCTGTTTGTGAGCCATTGTCATATACATGTAATACAATACAACAAGAACCCATTTTTTCTGACAAGGTTTATAATTCACATGGACACCTTTATTAATTATTATCTTAAAGGTAAAAAGGTGTTGTGGGGGAAAAGACCAAGAATGTGTTCATATATACATATAATTTTAAACATTACTGGCAGGAACTGAGGAGGTTAGGTGACCGACCCTCTCTGTAAACTTACTGGGTCACTTATTTATAATGATGAAGTCCCAGCATTGAAGGGAAGCAATTCTTATTTTCAACAAGTCTCTCTTTGTTTTTTCTGTTTTTAGGTTGATTTTAACATTTTTGTCATATCTAGGTGGCCCATCCACTTAATCAGCCTTCCTCGATGACTCACCAGTTATAACCAATTTCTCTGCAAGGTACCAACCACTAATCCTACATGATTTCTGAATCGGTGGTAAGAAACTAAATAACCATTAGACTCAATGTCTTAAAGTCAATTGTCATAAAGAAATTTCGCCTTGCCCAAGGACTAAACCAGTGTTCCCTGGATTACTTATCTAATGCCCTCCCTATTCAGCTAAGCTAAAGAGGCATTAAAATCCAGACAGCAATGAGCAACGATCTGTTGCACATGATAACACTGTTGTTGTGTTTTTTTTTCTGTTTTTTTTCATTCATCTAAATTAATTTGATTAAGCATAATATATATGTACTTGACAGGACCCAGAAAGAAACTTTAGGGACTGTAATAATTATTTAATACTCTTTTATTCGCTGCATTCTGTATCTTTGGGTTTCAGACCAAAAAAACTCCCTCATAAAGATGAATTCTCTACCAATAAGCCAAAAGTTGCAATAAATTCACAAAAACAAGATTAAACATAAAATTTCTGGTAATTGCGCGAGGTAGCTTGGGTCAGTATATGCTAATACTATTCATTAACAGCATGGGACTTATTCTATTATATGAATACTGTACTATATATCGAGCGGCAATAATACTACAGATGATGATGGAACTTAGGTTTAGTTGTTATAGGCCTTGAAAATATGCCCTAAAAATTTAAAGGAGCTCCAACGAGGTCAAAAGCCTAAAAACATAAAATAATAATTTCTTGCATAGATCCATTCTTGGCACATAAAACAGAAAATATGCAAAAGATAATAAAGAAATAAAAATTCCCAGAATGAAATTGGAAATCGTATTTTTGTGCAATTCTTAACATGATTTCACTTTCTGGACAAATTTCACTTTTAAAATAAATATTCCGGAAAGGATTGAGCAAATGATTGATTTTGCACAAAGGCTATTGGTCCAGAGTTATCATCAAATGGTACATTAAAAAATATTTCCAGCCCTATCTTGTCAAAAAACCTCGGTGGAGTCCCTTTAACAGTTGAGAACAAACTTTAAAGATTACGAACCCTATTGTTTAGGTAAATTACAAATAATACTTTGGTAATATCATCATAAAAGAGAAACCACTTTTAAAAGTTTCCTTAATACCTAATTTTAGCTACACTTTGGTAGCATGAGAGGGTGTTTGCCATTATGACATCATTATTTGAGAAAATACAAATATAGCAGAGGGTCCATATTCTTTAAAAGAAAGACATTGATATTGTAATTTGTTCAAAATACCATGGCAGTGATCTATATGTTACTATGTTTTATAGGCCTTCACAATGTGCTTCAACCCCTGTCCCCCAAATTGGCCTTCAAAATACACCTCAACCCTACTTCCCACACCTAAGTTGATGATTTGAATGCCACTACACAGTCTTTAATATAGGTAGCCTATTCAGCCTCTATATATTAATAGCAGTTTAAATATAGCATCTTTTAGTCCTACATTTTATTAAAAAAACCCAAATAGTTCAAAAGTCAAAGTCAATTGTACATATTAAGTATATAACGCTTCAAGTTTGGGCCCCATTTACCAGATACTATTAGAATTTGATCAAATGGCAAATATGAGTTATCTTCCCTCGCCTCTTTGTTAACAAAAGTTTAATATTAGTTGTTCACAATTCTATAAGTCTTGCTTAGTTTCATTAACAAAAGTTATGCAGTATAAGTAGTATAAAGCACAGAATCACTGATATCCCTAAACTTGGAAATGGACAGTTCCAAAAGAATGGAAGCTGGACAAGTCCATTGTAAAATTCAGCAGAATAAGGGTTAAAAATACTGCCGATTTAAATTTTCAGTTCCTAGACACAACTCTCTTGCTTTCTTGGTTAGATTAATTTATCACTATTTATATATAATCATCACCATCCATATATAATTATCACCAAGATTTGTCTATGAAAATGTCATGTGGTGACGTAAATCGGAGAATCGCTGTGTTTACGAACATGTTCGGGTATTACAGCAGTGATCTCCCCTTCTTTCACAGCATGAACAGCGTCACCGCACACGTTTATCAGACACTGACTCTGAAATGCAAATGACAAAAAAAATATCAAACGTAATTCATCAAACTGGTATTCAGCTGTAATAATTAAAATAAAATTTTGTTATTTTGGTTTCAAGGGCATAAAACTACAACTTTTAAAACACAATAAGTAACAATCAAATGAAATTTTTGTAAAAGACTTAACTATTAATTAGGTTTAATGCAAATAATAGAACAAGATCCCCATGCAATGTTTTTTTCTATATATGCTCCCTCTTATCTACACTACATATTCAACCATACCGTTATGATGTTGTCAGCATGGTCGTTACTGATTACAAATTTACATAATACAATTCATTTTTAATTTTTTATTCCGATTAATTATACCCCCGCACAACAAAGTTGTAAGGGGGGTATACTGGAATCAGCTTGTCCGTCCGTCCGCACTACCGAAAACGGATAGGGGGCCATCTAACTGTAAACAGAACAAAAGAGAACAATAGAGTTCATTCCGTAACAATAGAGTAAGGGGCCATTGGCCCTCTATTAAACAATAGAAAATAACAAAAGAAATGGCCCCTTATTCCATTTCGGCCGGACGGCTGTCCGTCGGTTTTTTCTTGTCCGCCCAATAACTTAAGATTCCTTTGACCCTAAGTCTTCATATTTGGCATGGAGGTTAGTCATGATTAGTAGATGACCCCTATTGATTTTGAGGTCACCAGGTCAAAGGTCAAGGTCACAGGGGCCTTGACTTCAAAAAGCTTGTCCGCCCAATAACTTAAGATTCCTTTGACCTACAGTCCTCATATTTGGCATGGAGGTTAGTCATGATTAGAAGATGACCCCTATTGATTTTGAGGTCACCAGGTCAAAGGACAAGGTCACAGGGGCCTTGACTTCAAAAAGCTTGTCCGCCCAATAACTTAAGATTCCTTTGACCTACAGTCGTCATATTTGGCATGGAGGTTAGTCATGATTAGTAGATGACCCCTATTGATTTTGAGGTCACCAGGTCAAAGGTCAAGGTCACAGGGGCCTTGACTTCAAAAAGCTTGTCCGCCCAATAACTTAAGATTCCTTTGACCCACAGTCGTCATATTTGGCATGGAGGTTAGTCATGATCAGTAGATGACCCCTATTGACTTTGAGGTCACCAGGTCAAAGGTTAAGGTCACAGGGACTTTGACTTCAAAAAGTTTGTCTGCCCAATAGCTTTAGATTCCTTTGACCCACAGTCTTCATATTTGGCATGGATGTTGATCATGATTAGTAGATGACCCCTTTTGATTTTGAGGTCACTGGGTCAAAGGTCAAGGTCATAGGGACTTTGACTTCAAAAAGTTTGTCCACCCATTAACTTAAGATTCCTTTGACCCACAGTCTTCATATTTGGCATGGATGTTGATCATGACTATAAGGTGACCCCTATTGATTTTGAGGTCACTGGGTCAAAGGTCAAGGTCACAGGGACCTTGACAAAAAAAAGCTTTTCTTCTCAATTGTTAAAGAATGTCCTGTCCGCAATGTATTGATTTTGACATTTTCACATTTGAAGCATGTAGAATACATAACTTAGCAATGCACTGGCTTAGTAACCTCAGATTTGGCAGGGAGGTTGTCCTTGAGCTCTAAATGGCCACTGTTGATTCTGACAAAGTGGTATGCGGGGGTATTCACGCCATGATAGTGGCAGTTCTAGTTATACTTTGTTCCAAAGATTTAAGCAATATGATAAATCAGAATATTAACAATTACATAACAAATAATAAGACTTACCTGGTTTTTATGTTCATTGGTCAGCAGAACACATTGTGTTAAATTATACGCCACCAGGGCGTTACCTCCGAGCGAGGACACATGAGCTCGTACAATCGCTAGAACTTCCATGATAAACTTCTGCATAAAACCACATACACCCCCAACCTGGGAATTAAACAGAAAATCTCAGATATGTCTGTAACAAATCACAAACACTATAAAATTAAAGGTAGGGAGATATTGGCTAAAATATTCAGGACTCATTCCTTATGATAGTCTTATTGCAATGCTTTCCTGCCAAAAAATTTCTAACACTGCCTAAAATTGTAATAAATTGGTTATTTCCCAAATGTTATTTTTCACAATTTTTGGTATTTAATAATTCTAAACCGTTTATAACCAGAATTCAGTACAGAGCAATAAAGGATGAGTGATTGTAAATAATTTAATGCCCAGCCCTTTAAAAAAATAACATTCCAGAAATAACCAATTGTTACGATATTGGCTGATGTTAGATTTGTTTTGTTTGGAAAACATTACAGTAAGACTTCATCAATAATGAAAATAAAATACAAAATATTTAATGCTAATACTTTTGAATTTGAAGTATATTTCATGAACTTGCCCCTCACTGCATTTAGAACTGCCCAATACTGATTAAATTAAACTTGTCAAACTACTTGAATAACAGCATTTAGCAAGCACATATGGGCTCTAACTTAAACTTTTACCATAATATAACTCAAACTGGCTCACAGTAAATTTTACTGGAAGATAGAAACTCCCAAAAACTCCTTTATATTGACGAAATCCTTATTAAAGAGGTGAAATTTTACTATACATATAATATTATGTTGACACCACATTTTTCAGTGACATTACAGCATTCTAGTTTTGCTAATTGGAGAAAAACAACCTAATTGACACTTCATGCTTCATGCAATTTTACAGGGACATCATTGTAGAACCACTGACTTTCATTGACTTAGCTTTACAGCTTCACAAAATGAATTTTTATTAACTTAGAACAATAGCTTTTAATCTAAATATTTTTAAAGAATTAATATCAAGTATATACATAATAATCAAACAGTGTTCATTGACTATAGTTTAATATTCCATATCTACTGTGGCGGCATGGCCATGTGGTTAACGCTTCGGACTTGTAATTTAAAGATTGCTGACCACGTGGGTTCAAACCCTTTAAGGGGAAAGCAGTTGTTTTCTTGAGCAAAGTACTTTACAATCATTACTTAGTACTAGATGGTTCCAGGAACGTATTCAATGCTGTTTCAATAAGCTTACAGCTTCCACACAATCAAACTAAAACAAAATTTGTATATGTTAAACTACTGTTGACACTTCTTTAATTTGCCATGTGTACCCACCTCTCTCACAGATGTAGTTTCCCGTATGAAGAAGAAATTATAACTGCCGATATATTTTTCTATCTTAGCTCCGGGAACATACGCTAATGGTGTAATCTGTATGCCCTGTAACGTTCTACCAAAAACCTGAAAGAAATAAAACCATACATTTATGTGTATCTATTTAATTTATGTGTATCTATTTAATTTATGCATATCTATTTAATTTATGCGTATCTATTTAATTTATGCATATCTATAAAATCTCATTTGTGTAGCAAATTCTTACAACATACTAGTACATGTATATTAATCACTATTAAGTCCACTACTTGGACTACACAGTAATTGATTAACGCAATATCTCATAACATAGTAGAAATAAAACTTCAAGATCATTTAAATAACATTGACAAATGGTGCAAAATAAATAATATGGCCTTAAATCCAGATAAATCAAAATGTATGGTAATAGGAACAAGACAAAAAGTAAATATTATGAGAAAATTGTATCTTAAGATAAATGAAATAGCTCTTGAAAATGTAACTGATCACAAAGTCTTGGGTATCTGCATAGATAACAACTTAAAATGGCACTTGCAAATTGACAATGTTTGTAAAAAACTTAACGGAAAAATTGCCTTATTGAAAAAGATATCGTATTTTTTGCACTTTGATATGAAATTATTGTTTTACAATGCATATATATTGCCCATTATGGACTATTGTTGTATTATATGGGGTAAAGGAAACACAAACTACATAAATAATGTTTGTAAATTACAAAAACGAATTGCTAAAATCATTTTACAGCAACCACAAAGATCTCCGTCAATAAATCTATTCGAAACTCTTAACTGGTTACCGTTCCTTGACAGATGTAAATACCACACGGCGGTGCTTGTTTTTAAAACTTTAAATAACATGGCACCGACTTATATGACAGAACTGATGACTTTATCCGACAACAAAATATATAACTTAAGATCTAGGTCACGAAAAGATATTGTATTATGGACAAGACCTAAAACAAACTATATTAAAGACACATTTTCTTATTATGGCATGAACATTTGGAACAACATACCTTTAAATATTCGTAATGTTAATAACCTTAAATGTTTTAAAGAAAAATACAAAGCATATCTTGATGTTCATATGAATGAATGAGTGAGTGAATGAATAAATGAATGAATTAATTAATAAATGAACGAACGAATGAACGAACGAATGATGCAATATATGTATATGTTAAAACAAATTGTTGAGTGTCTGTCGAAAGTATATGAGTTGTAATATTCTAAATATTACATATTATATATTCAATTTTCTACCTATGCATGTCCTGTTGTTGTTGTTGTTGTTTTCTATTTCAGAAGGCCACATTGGAAATAAGATATATATGATTGTTATTGTATGTTCTTAATGTGTAACCTTCTTTAAATAAAGATATTATTATTATTATTATTATTATTATTAACATAACGCCTACACATTTATAACAAATATTTCAATGATGTTCATTGTTCTAGCTATATAATTTGATATATTTGTCAATATTTGGCTTTCAATAGAACGGTACAAATTTTTTCCACCAATGGTAGTACATGTGTTTTTATATTCTGGAAATATGAACTAGAACGGGCTTGTACCAATAATCTTTTAGGTTGAGGGACATAACATCTCAACCATTTGGCCATGTCATCCTTTTGGTCATATAATTTGTCACCTTAGTGCAGTAAAGGGTTACCTCCTTTTATATCAATGCAAGTTACCCTACTACTGCACTAACATGACAATATCCATTAGCAGACTCTTCATTGAATACAACTCTCTCCTGCCCCCAATCTATTTAATTTTTTTTTGTTGTTGGGTTTTACATCGCACCAACACAGTACAGGTCATATGTCGAATTTCTAGCTTTAATCATGAAGGAAGACCTCAGGCACCTGAGTAGAACCACCAATGTTCCGTTAGCTAGCTAGATAGCTTCCTCACATGCAAGAATCCAAAGTCCCTGTCGGGATACGAACCCACAGCAGCTTCGAAACTGTAAATAAGGCACAATGAGTTCAAAACATGCCAACTTAATTTGTGGAATCATCCACCATACCCTAACCAACACACACTTCAATTTTATGATCCAACCTTAAAAGATGTTTTATGTTACTAAAATAGATGTATGTTTAACTTAATGAAAGATGTTAAAGTATATCTAACAAACTTACTTGAGATTGTTTCTTCTTTAATACTTCAGCTTTAATCTTTGGAACTGTAATTTAAAATGAAAATAAACTCAAAAAGCTGCGTGCCTCCAGATGAGTAAAAATATTTCAAGAAAATTAAACTTAGGAAAATTGTACTGTTATTTTAAGAAAAGTAAAAATATTTCAGATAAATGTTATAATTTTCATGTAATGTGTGATATTGACAGGTTCTGCAGTATTTTTCATCATATTTATTCACAAAATATGGCTTTTTTTGCATATTTTGCCCTCTTTTTGGTAATCTACATGTACATGGCTTGTAAGAGCAATATGCAATGTGTAAATTATTTTCTTTGCACAATTTGCTACATTTTACTTTTTAATACATTTTCACAATTTTTGTTCTTGCTTTTATTAACTTATATCAAAATGAATTTCCTAAATGTGCTTGTTCAGCTTCCATTTTGTTTAAAAAAGGATCATAGTACATGATTATTTCAATCTTAAAAACCACAGTGTAAAACAAGATCTTATATATTCCAATGTTATCTTAAGTGCCATGCAGTGCCTTTGTTTAATAAATCAATTATTTAGTCATTTAAAATAGTGCAGCTTGGGTTTGGACCTGCAACCTACAGAATCCAAATTGTCAACTCTATAACAAGGCAATCATGGAATTTAAAATATCTAAATCAACACTATTAAAGTTCACAATATTTAAAATAACAATATTTAAGTTCACTACTGGTCGGAGAGATAACTCTGACGCATAGATAGCCCCGACACTTGATAAATATAATTCTTATAGCTTTGTTTTTCAACAAACAAGCATATGGTCACCTAATAGTATAGGAACAGGACAGAATGTGATGATTTGTTATAATTTGGTAAACTTTTTAATGTTTTTCAAATTACCTAAACATTTTGTAGGCAAAAACTGCTTCAAAACGATTTTTTACTAAATTACAATAAGGTAGGTAGAAATGTATTGACCACAGGCCACTGACTTGGGAAAGATTTTGAAAAATTGTTTAAATACAGTAGAACTTCTATGAGTCGAACTTCGATTAGTCAATTCTCTCGATGTGTCGAAGTAAAATGAAAGTCCCGATTTTTTCTCTTATATATTCCATATGAAAACCTATTTATGAGTCGAAATTTTTATGTGTCGAATTTTTCGATGTGTCGAAGTTTTTTCGTGGTCCGTATAGAATAAATCTAGTACAATTTACCACAAATAAGTCGAAGTTCTTCGATTATTTTGGCACCTTCGATCTCGAGACATTTTTCACACCTGTTCTGGCCGTGAAGACGATTTCCGATCAACTTAAGTGACACGTGTTAATTACACAGCCGAGTGTTCAAACAGCCTTTGTATACGTTTAAATGAGTGAAAAAATGCTTTAATCGGTACTAATTTAATTGACGTAGCAGTATTTGAAAGTACATGTAAACAGTAAGAACTATCATTACTACTTCCGTGACCCGGTGTCGCGTGATAATCACATGCGAAATATTTACTATAAGCTGGTTAAGTTATTGTCCTTTCGTATTGTTACGCCTTTTGTAACTTCATTGTATACGTCAACAGGTAGTTCAAATAATTAGCCGTGAAAAGTTACTTAACATGTCATATTTATCATTGCATAATGTAAAATATCAGATTAATAATTGAAAGAAAAATATGAAATTGGTTACGTTATAAATCTTATAATAAGGGCTAGTCACTGGTTGAAATTTTGTCATGAAATTCAGAACGATTCATGAGTCGAAGTCCCGATGTGTCGAAGTTTTTACGCAAGTCCCTCTAACTTCGACTTACCGAAGTTCTACTGTATTTACAAAAAATAGATAAAATTCTGGAAACAAAGTGACCCCTTGGAAGCATTAATCACAACAAAATAACATAAGAATTGCACACTCGGTTTGATTGAGTCTGTACATGAGAGATAATGAATCAGTGCAACATCCCTCACGCCCCCTAGCACCGGCTTGAGCGGTACTCAATTCTCAACACTTTATAGTGTTGGCATCAATGATCCCGAAGGACCAGAAAATATAACAACACTGAAGTGAAGTACGGGGCAACTTTTTACGACTGCCACATGGCACTTGACACCTGCTGTTGTGAAGTACAAAATTCTGGAAACAAAGTGATCCCTCGGAAGCATTAATCACAACAAAATAACATAAGAATTGCAGACTCGGTTTGATTGAGTCTGTACATGAGAGATAATGAATCAGTGCAACATCCCTCACGCCCCCTAGCACCGGCTTGAGCGGTACTCAATTCTCAACACTTTATAGTGTTGGCATCAATGATCCCGAAGGACCAGAAAATATAACAACACTGAAGTGAAGTACGGGGCAACTTTTTACGGCTGCCACACGGCACTTGACACCTGCTGTTGTGAAGTACAAAATTCTGGAAACAAAGTGAAACCATATAAGATGTAAAAATAAATTATTGATGCTGATTTTCCAGTCATTTTTTACATAAAAATTTAAGTGTCGACTTTATCTACTGTTGTGGGGTAAAAAGACCATGTTTTGTATACCTCATTCAAGACCTTAAAGAAGTAACAGATTCCATTTTCATACATATTTTTGTAGTGTAATGTAAAGTCTTTGAACTGAACTTTGTTTAGGTGGTTCAATATTTAAAATATACCGGAAGATAATTAAAATATTGCAAAAAATATGTGATTTAGTGTCAGAGTTATCTCTCCAACCAGTATATTTAAATGCATGATATTTGAATTTAAAATATTGAAGTTCACAATATCTAAATTCACACAATATTGAAGCTCACATTATCATAATTCACAATTTTTAAGTGCACTATATTCAAGTTCACAATATTTAAGTTCACATCATTTTAATTCACAAAATTTAAATTCACATTATTTAAGTTTACATCATTTTAAGTCACAATATTTAAGTTCACAATATTAAAGTCCAAAATATTTAAGTTCACAATATTTAAGTTCACAATATTTAAATTCACAATACTTAAATTCACAAAATCTAAATTCACTATACATGTATTTAGAGTAACGCTTTTATTTCATTTCTTTTCTTTGGTAGTAATTAAGACATGAAACCTTGTATTACATAGAAATCTATAAATAGAATGAATCAAACCTTTATGTAATGCAGATGAGGCTGACCCCTCTGTGACCTCTTCCATTTGGAACATCATATCATCAACATTCTCCCCACTGGCTCCAACAACCGACACATTTGCTGGAAGATTTATGTCATTAATTGTAGACCTTTCTATACAAATGATTAACCTATACATGTAAATGAATATCGTAACATTAAATATACTTGCTCTTTACTGCGGTGGCTTTGCAGCTAGCCTAGAGAATGTTGGTGACCTCAGCGCCCGTTTGTGTCTGAAATAATGCATGGAGGGGCAACTGAGTTTTTTCTCCACCATTGACCAATAAAAACCTGGAAAGTCTCCTTAAGACCAATATATTGTCAGTGTGATTTAAAGCACAACCATTTAATATGTATTTTGCTTACCTAGTGAAAGTTCCATTGCAAACTTTTGAAAACTACACAAATACTTTTAATACAAATATAAAACAGACTGTGTAAGAATGTAAATGTTGCAAGAATGAAATTCTGGGTATCTGACTTGTGTGCATATTTGTACCATTGTAAGCATGGCACTGAAAAATAGTAAATATTTGGCATTCCCTTGAGATTTAAAAATCTTTAATCAGCCTATCAGAACTCAAGGAAAATAATTTAATGCCTCAAAATATTAACCCTTTGAGCAGTACATGAAAGTGTTACCAAATTATTACCATCGCAACTATATCAAGGTCACACCAAGTGAAGGGTTGAAATAATAAATGGCCGTTTGTATCATACAAAACCATTCAAAATGAAAATCCAAATTTTAACATGACTTATGTACATAACAAAAATAAGAATCGAATGTCTTACCAGATTTTAACAGTTGTTTATTTGAAGCAGAAGAACTAACAGGAGTATCAGTGACGGCTTTGCTCTGTGGTTGGCTGTCGTCAATGGCAACACATGTTCCCGTGACAACGACCTCAATCTCATCTTCTTCAGGAGCGTCAACGCTGAATACCAGATTACACAGACAACATGGTATCATTCTCCGTAATTTGAAGAATAATCTCTGTAAAAACATATATAGAATTAAACACCAACTAGAAGTGTGTCCATAAGACATTGGGATGCTCTCCAATACCACTGTTTCTTTAGTCTACAGACTGACAGCTCAACAGTGGTACCAATAGAAACGGGCAAATATAATCCCCTGTCCGTAAGTAAATGAAGCATAAAAATGTTTTCTTTTGTCTACTGACGGACAGTTCAACAGTGGGACTGATACACATGAGCAAGTGGCCCGATACACATGAGCAAGTGGCCCGATACACATGAGCAAGTGGACCGATACACATGAGCAAGTGGCCCGATACACATGAGCAAGTGGCCCGATACACATGAGCAAGTGGCCCGATACACATGAGCAAGTGGCCCGATACACATGAGCAAGTGGCCCGATACACATGAGCAAGTGGCCCGATACACATGAGCAAGTATATAATACTCCACCCTTAAAGGCAAGTTATGTCTCGGAAATAAATAAATTTCTACTTAAATTTCTACTTCTTAAGAAAGGGCAAACATGAATGTTATACTGCTTAGATAATGGTTAAAAGAATTTTAGATGCTTGTTACCTTAAGGAAATAGCCATAGGTGTGAAAAAAATTGTCAGAAAAGTAGCAAAATGAAGAAATGGGTCAAAGACAGAAAAGGCCAGGTTGCATTTGTATACCAAATATCATAATGCTGTGATGTTAAGAAAAAAATTTACCACTGACCATCAATGTTGAAAATTTAACTAAGTCATTAAACAAAAAGTGGATGAGCAACAGACCTGAAATCGAATCCCATGGTATGGGACCACAGGTCAATAATGTATGCCAATTATCAAGAGGCTGCTAAAGTAGTTGCTGAGAAACTGTTATGAAAATTTCCTACCATTTACCATTAATGTCAAAAATTTAGCTAAGACGATAAAAAGAAAGTGGATGAGCGATAGAACTGAAATCGAATCCCACAGTATGGGACCACATGTCAATGCTAAATGCCATACATCAAGAGGCTGTGATAAGTACTTGCTGAGAAAACTGTTATGAAAGTTTCCTACCATTGACCATTAATGTCGAAAATTTAACTAAGAAGACTAACAGGAAGTGGATGAGCGACAGACTTGAAATCAAATCCCACAGTATGGGACCACGTGTCAATGCTGTATGCCAAATATCAAGAGGCTGTGATAAGTAGTTGCTGAGAAAACTGTTACGAAAAGTTTTTCTTCATCTGCCAGCCAGCCGCCCCCCAACCTTCACCATACTATAACCCGGGTTTGCACCTGTGCAACCCGGCCAACAAAGTAATATTTTGACCTTCATAAAAATACTTATTCATATTAAGTTTCCTTAAAGGCTGGTCTGCCTCTATAATTGTGACATTAACAAGTTTATTTTTTCATTGAAATTAAAAACCATCTTACCCTATACACCCCATCAAAGAATTCTTTAAAATCCGTTTTCATATGCTGCTCTAGATCAATCTTTCTTCTGTACACTTGTGTAAACATCTGAAAAATATACACACCATAGTTGATTATATAAATATATTTGTCTGGTATCAGACCACAAAATATTTGGTTATAACTTCAATAAATATTAAGGATTTAATAAAATTATGTTGCATCAAATGAACTTACGGAATGAACACTTTATCATAATTTTGAGGACAAGGTTGTTGCCTCACTCTCTTAGTCTGCTTGTGTAAATTATGCGCTAGCATCAAGCAAAGCATTATCATGAACATAATTTTAGTGCCTTAGGCATGAAAGGAGCAAATATTTATATTTACTCAACTAATGGCCAGACTGCTAATAAGTCGCGGGCCTGTTATTTACATTGGCTGTTTATTTCTACTTGATTCTCATATACATGTATAAGACTTACATTTCAAGTATTTGATTATATATTGATGTGTAACCAACCAGTGAGTAGTTTATATACATCTTTATGATAACACTATTTACATCCGGTAGAACACCTATTATTTTATTACATCACAACAAAACTATATATAAACCTGGAGATTATGACTGAACAGTCGTGACTGTATGCCCGGACACGTCTCCGTATTGCACAAATCCATACCAGCAGGGTGAGGAGTGTCATGTAACATGGCCTGTATATTATCATCCTTTGTGTCATCTACCTGTAAAACAAGGAAAAATATTTTCAAAATAATAAAAAAAACAAGAGCGATAAGTGATCACATGTGTCGCCTCAAAATGGCCAATTTCATGTTGGGACAAGTTTTGTGACAGACGGACGGACAGACAGACAGTGCACAACTAGACTTGGTAATGATCATTCCTGTAAAGTTTGGATAAAATTGCACCAGAAGTTTATGAGGAGTAGTCCAGACAAGCTTTTGTGATGGACGGACGGACAGACAGACAACGGAGAAGTGATCCCTATATGTCGCCACTACTCTGTAGAGGCGACACAAAAATGATAAATGTAACATCAATGGATGCTCCTCATGTCATTTTAACTGTTAAATACTGCACATAAAGAGTATAATAAAGATTTAAAGAACTAGATATGTATACAGAATACATATCAACAGCAGGAGGATGAACAAGGGAAAATCTATACCACCTCCCTCGAAGTAGTGAGGGTATAAAAATAGTAGTGAGGGTATAGAAATATGTTCTTAGTCTAAGTGACATTGACCCAAGGTAATGTGTTGGGTGGGACGTCACTCATGAGGAGCAGACTGACCAGGGTCTCAGATTATCAAGAAATTGTTTAAGCTCAAACTCGTATCTAAGGTATTTGATTGGTCAGAAACCGACTCAGAATGTTCATTGACCAATGAAAATCCTAAGATTCAAGATGGATCACAGAAATTTTTTTTATAACCTTGAGGCCTGAATGGTTATATGGACAGAAAACACAAGATAATATCACTGCAACAATTCAAAGGGTTAAGACTGTAAAGAAATCACTGTGTTTTCTGGTATTTCTGTTACATATGGCAATATAAATGTATGAATATGTTACCTCTAGGACAAAAGTATCCTTGTTACCAGCAGATAACTCTAAATCTGACCCTTCATCATCACTATCATCTGTATATACACTGTGAGGACTCGGCTGACCTGAAAAATCCTGAAAATAAACAACAAGATTGATATAATAAGTATTTTATTGTGCCTGTTATCATGTCATCTTCTCAACAGTGAACACTATTTGATCACAAGTAAATAACACCTTTATCTACATGATTGATTGACTGATTGATTTCCTTATTGAATGAATGAATGAATGAATGAATGAATCATACAAACAAACAAGCAAAGTAACAAATGTATGAAAATAAGTGAGTGATTGAATGAGTAAGTGAGACAGTGAAAGAACAAATGAATGAAAGAATGAATGAATGAATATATAAAGGAATGAATGAATGAATGAATGAATGAATGAATGAAACATACAAACAGCAAAGTAACAAATGTATGAAAATAAGTGAGTAAGTGAATGAGTAAGTGAGACAGTGAAAGAAAAAAGAAAGAATAAATGAATATACAAAGGAATGAATGGATGAATGAATGAATGAATGAATGAATGAATGAATGAATGAATGAATGAATGAATGAATGAATGAATGAGTATATTGCAACTACTGAAGAAAAGTCTATATCTTGAAAACAGACATGCAAATTGGATTTACTTGGATATATTTACTATCAATTTGTATTACCCTTTTCCCCCACTGAATTTACAAAATAGACTTGTCCATGGACATCTCCATTGCTTACATTTTGGAACAGTCCATTCATACTTTAAGGGATTTCAATATCAAAATACTAAAATTGAGCTTCCCACAGTAATACCAACCATGCAGGCTGTACAAAATTAAATTATGCCCTGGTAAGCCTAGCTTTATACTCTGATGGTAGTATACACTGGTCATTAATTCAGCTAGCTATGTATAAGATAATTCAATTTTCATGAATGTATTTATCCTTAATTAAATGATGCAATTATGGCCATGAGGTTACAAACTTTGGTTGCCCTGTAGGAAGGAATGTTGTACTCAAATCAGAAGATTCTGTTCGTTAGGTAAGATAACCTTTTTCATTTTATCATCATTTTATTTAGAATTTTTTCATCATTATTTTGATGCATACCTAAATTTATGCTTTAAATCTGATTTATTTCTTGTTTTCATTAAAATTCCATCAAGGGTTATTGTTTCTGGTTTAATGCATTTTTATAGAAATATTTGTTTATAAAAATAAATTCTGAATTCTAAAATAAACTAACTTCTTGGGTTTTAAAAAGATTTATCTTGGGACTTTATTTTTGTATTAATTTATGTGGTTGTTTTTTGTAAATTCAAAATGTTATTATATTATCTGTAACAGGTTGACAGAAGATGTCCTATGCCCTGATAGATGATGATGTACTGCAGCTATGTTGTGCTGTCAAGGTGGGAGATATTTCAGATGTCAAGATGCTACTGGAATTTGTACCAGATATAGACTGTCCTGATACAGTAATATATTTCTAATTTTTCCATTTTTCACATGCATGTTAAAAGTTACTTTTTTCCAAGTTTTACCACTGGTTTTTCAAATTTGTCAAAGAAATTTGGACAGGATACCATGACTGTGATATAATAATTTGTAAAAATAGGAAAAACATTTGTTTATATTATATAATAATTGTAAGTAAAGGTTGTTTTTTTAAAGTTGAAGATTTAATTACAAAAATTATTTTACTAAATTTCAAGAAGCAGTGTCTTTAGTATAATCTCAAAAAACAATCATATCTTAAAAATGCTTTGATTTTTATTTCCTGTTCTTGAAAGTTTTGGTGTCCTGTCATAGTTTTCAGTAAGGTGCTTATTGGCCATATTTTGGAACCATCTTTTGCTTCTGTTGCTTTTTGGCATTTGGTACAGTAATAGTGATCTATACTATTTTGTATGGAATCAAAATATTACTTTGTTTACATTTTGCATCTATATGACAAATAATTTCACATCAAGGAGATAAGCATCTAATAGGCTCTTAAACCATTCTTTAAATGTAATAAGAAAACTCATGATCTAAACCCTTCCTAGAGAAAGAAAATTTTATTTGCTTCTGAGCCATAATGTGTCTTTAAGCACAGGAACTGTAAATTAAAACAAAATAAATAAATAAAAAACACCCCTTCTATATATTTTTTTTTTTGGGGGGGGGGGAGGGGGGGGGGAATATCTTTTTAGTCAAAACAGCTTCTTTATTTCAGGCTCCTATGCTTAAAGCTATGCTGCATTTTTATTTCATGAACGAAATTTCATTTATTTCAAGAATTAAGTTATTCTCTTATTTATTTAAGAATGGTAAACAGTTCTGCACACAGCGGTACTCTATGATTGTAAAGACATTGTGGAAGAGATGACAGACATGGGGGCTGATGTCAGCATATCTAACAAGGTTACAAGTAGCTTTTATCATATTAACATATTCTACATCATCAAGGTATTGTACTCCCAGCAAACACCCGACGTTGACCCAACGTTGAATCAACGTTGAATTTTGGTCGCGACGTCGGTGACCTTCATACAACGTCAAATCGACGTTGAATCCCCGACGTCTAACAGACGTTTCATTTTGACGTCGACTCGACGTCGGGTTTTGGTCGGTAATCTGACAATAGGTAAATTTAATTTATGAAACCAATATATATATAAATGAAAGCATAAACAACGAGAATTTTAAGTTTAAGTTTAGAAAGGGAACATTATATATTTATTTTCTCCATCAAAGCAACAGTATCACGTGGGTGGCTAACGTACGATATTCGATAGGTGGCGCTCTGTAAACGGATAGTCGCAGATCAGTATGAAATATATTTGCTCTATTTTAGTTTAAATAATATCTTATCTCCTCGAATTAGTCTAAGAAGTGTTTATATAATTTACAATGAAGTTGTTATCATTTTTGAGGGCTTCATTTTATAGTGGAAAATCATTTAGTAAATTCGAATTTGCGACTTATCGGATTTGAAATTCAATTGTATTGGCGGACAAGAAAACGACGGGTTGACAGACAAAGTTGTATATTCCAAACAAAAGAAAAAGGTAGGCAAACATTATATATATATTGTTTTTCAATGCTAATATACCGCATGTTTGCATGGATTCGATGGTTATTTGATCATTGAAATGTTTGACTGGTAAAACTTAATGTCACGTGATTTCGCGAGATAAATATTTTTGTTTCCACGTAAGAACACTTTATCATTTGCTATACTATAGAACAGTCTGTATAATCGGATCATTTTTCCCACACTAAATCGCCATGCCAAATAAATGCGCAATCAATGGTAGGAAATATCCTAGCAATTGAAATCAATAAATAAAAAGTTAAATGCAGTACGTAAGACTCTTATTATTCAAATGCTGGTAAATAAATTTTCCTCTTATTTCTTATCAACATGAATTTCCCTTATATGAGGGGCCAGTCATTTACACATGTGTCAGATGCAGTTTGATTTTGATATCTGTGTAGTTGTTAAACTACTCGTTGTTAATTTTAGTACTTTACCCATACTGTTAGCATACCATGTGTTTCTTATATTATGATAATGATTCATGGCATTTGATACATGTAAATGATACGACTTTGGTAAGATATATCTAAAAGCACATTGTATTTGACTAGCTATCTTTTTATTAATGTAATCAAACAACATATTATCAATCAGAAAACACATTATCATAGTTATAAATCAATAAAAGTAATAGTTTGTTAATTAGCCTGCTTATCAACAAGTTGTATGCTCGTATCATAAAACGTTTTTACACTAAGCCAGTCTGTCCTATATACACTTAGCAGACCAGATCATGCTGAGCAGAGATGATATCTATAAAATTGACAGTAACATGTGAATTTCTTTGATGTTGTATGAGCATTTGTACAAAGTACATTGAATATAAAAAATAACAATATCAATTTTTGCGGGAGTAGAATTAATTTGGTATTTATTATATCAGTTTTTCATGCGCTTATGAGTTATCTAAGAATAATAGTACATTTTTGTAATTGGATTTTGCCTATTGTATTAGACAAACATCCTTCCACCACATGGTTAAATTCTTAAACGATTATATTTCGTCTTTCAGATTGTGAAAATTATGATAATTCAACATGTGTCAAAAGTTCAGGAGGAAGACGAAAATATTTAGAGGAAAAGAAAAATGAAAACCTACCAAGATTTTGTGACAGGTATATTTCAAAATATTATAGAAAATACAGTGATCTAATTACCCTTGATTTTATAATGAAATTCACGAAGCCATTTTTATCAAAATTAATAGATATATACAGTAGGTACACGAAACTACATGGTTTAAACTAAATTAAAAATAATAAGTATCTTTTTTAAGTAGTTGGAGAGTTTTGTTACAATTTCGTTTAATTATAATATGTAAAAGTGATTTATTTCTTGCACTTGTAACTGATAATTTTATTTTTTTTTTTAATTTCAGAAAGTGTGATGAGATCTCAGCTTGGAGACGATAATGATACGCTTAAAGTATGCCCCAGATCGACATAGTGTAGGAACGAAAGAAGCTAGAATACTAATGAAGATACATGATCATTGTTATTTATAGTTATAACAAAATATTCAGAATATTGTTCCATTTAACATTCAGATCTATATTCAGTTATAAAATACAAAGACAAATATACAATCAGTGAGTTGTATAGATGATTGACAATCCCAAACTCAGAGTGATCAGTTCAGTGGTGATATAAGAAAAAACACATGCATGGATGTTTGCTATATAAAATGTCAGTGTTAATATTCAAGAAGGATTTTGTTTATCTTATTTCTAAAACATGCTTAATTGATACATGAAGCGTTATTAAAGTACATACCGTCAAGTTTAATAGTTTCAAAAAATATTATGTAAATCTTGCATTTGTTATAGTACCACATTTCTTGTACTTGTGATTCCGAGTATAAAATAAATTGCTAAAATCATAAGAATGCTTATTTATTAACCCTATTAAGTTATTAGGACCCTAATGGGTACTGTCAGGAACTAAAAAATTGACATCATAGGTCAGATGTATACCTTAAAGTACACCTGTATGCAAAATTTAAAC